TTATCTTGCCACCCTGGCTGGACAGTAGGGAAAACAACTTCCTGTAACTGTCTATGGAGACAGTTCCTCAGCTGATTTAGACAGGGTTATTCAGTACAATTTATATCAATGAGAATTTAAATATAATTATTCAAATCAATGAAATTCAATTGGCAACATTCTGCAAGAGTACAACTATGAAATACCAGAACTAAATATTAATCAGACTAATTGTTTTTGAATTTGTTTAAATGTCTTTAAATCCAAAGCTTAATCATCATTGAAAGTGAGATGCTGTGTTTAATCATCATTGAAAGTGAGATGCTGTGTTTAATCATCATTGAAAGTGAGATGCTGTGTTTAATCATCATTGAAAGTGAGATGCTGTGTTTAATCATCATTGAAAGTGAGATGCTGTGTTTAATCATCATTGAAAGTGAGATGCTGTGTTTAATCATCATTGAAAGTGAGATGCTATGTTAAGCTAAAAATTCAATTTCAACTCATGCTTGGTCCAAACTATTAATGATGAACTGGCATGATCAAACCAGATAACCATTCCATCATTTAAGTGAATAAATATTGTATATATATGAGCATTCTAATATGATACATGATGTCACAATAGGTAGAACAATTGATTTACTGGTCTATATTGGAGTATGTATGACCGCTTAAATTCATAAATGCCAATAGTTGTGTTTCTTGTCTGTTTGTCATATTAGAATTATAACAAAGACCTCGATTTTATGATTTATGTCAAATATATGACCTCAAATTTTATTCTGGCCGTTGCCAAAAACATCACTTGCTACGCAATTTCGGTCTTTTAACAATGACAATGAACAGAATAAAATTTTTGGTCATATATTACGCCATAAATCATAAATTCTCAGTCTTTATTCCTTAATTATTTTTGATTCTAATATGATTTGTGACATCACAATAAGTAGAACGATTGATTTATTGGTCGATATTGGGGCATATATGACTACGTTTATAAAAAGCTGGTTCGTTTATCGTATTAGAATTGTAACAAAGACCTTGATTCTATGATTTATGGCAAGTATATGACCTCAAATTTTATTCTGGCCATTGCCAAAGACCTCAATCGCTACGCAATTACGGTGTCTTAACAATGAACACAATTAAATTTTCGATCATGTATTACGCCAACAGAATCGAGGTCTTTATTCCTTAATTCAAATGTCATTCAACCAGTTATTTTAGTACTTCAAGGGAGCTGACAGTACAATTGTACAATTAAGTAATGCTTTTCAAATTTAATGTAACTGTGCCTTGAATGAGCCATATTTGTAGGTATTTATGATCCTAAATTACTTTTTTTATTTAAAATTGTAAATTGTACCATCAATAGACTTTGAAATACTAGTACATTGTATTTTTTCTGTATCGATATTAATACAGTACTTGAAAAAACCGAAGAGAATCTTTCCTTTACTTCATTTTTTTTTCGGCTTACATTCAGTGGGTGGGATAATTGGCGTTGGAGCAGTTGTTACACTTTTGTAACCATTTATGGATGGTGACATTTTGTCAGGCAATGTTTTAGATAAGGTACCCTTTACATTTGTTCGACTTCACTTCTTAAAAGAGAGCTTCGTCTTCACTCTTAATTGGTGTCAGAAGGGGGGGGGGGGCAGGGGCAGTCGTCCATGACGCCTTTCCCAGAAGTTTTTTAGATTTGGAACCGAGCCTAGAATTGAAAACACTGTCTAGAGCTAATTAATGTGAAGGTGTATTAATGACAGAAATGACACTATGTCAGTATCTAGTCTACATTAAGCATCGAAGACCCGGGATCGAAGACCCGGGATCGAAGATCTCATTTCTCATATTTTATTTAATTCTATACCATGTATAGTTTCTCAGAAACCCATGCAGTATGTCATGTGTGTAAATACTTTAAAGAATAAGTGCAAAATGTACATTTTCATAAAAGTCAAAGTTTTTTAGTCAAAGTCAAGTTCAGTTTTCTAAAAACATAGCCGGCCAGATCCTTTTGTAGTAGGATCAGTAGCTCAATAAATATTATTCTTTGAGCCAAGAGATCCTACTGCAAAACGATCTGGCCAACATCTATGTCTAAAAACACAATTTTTTCTTGTTTTTATTTTTGGAAATCTTGTTCTGAGATATGTTCAGAATGCACCAGAGAGGGTCTAAATTTGAAAATTTTCCGAACCCCCTAGGTTATGCTTCACGCACGGCCCATCCATACCCAAAAGTTGCCCCCTCCCTTGGCAAATCCTTCTGATGCCCCTGCTCTTTCGGTTTACAATAAATCTCTGATCTCACTGAGCCAATCAGAGTTCATCGTCGAAAGAGGGACAACTTTCTATATGGTCATTTACTCTGACATCCTCGCATAGTTAATGAGCATTTATTTAACACATGTTCCTTTGACTTCGCTGATTGGTTGAGAAAGGGTCAGTGTGGTAGATTTGAAATGATTTATTACCTGGGCTGCCAAAGGCATCTACAGGGCGGGACTGCTTAACTGTAATATGGTCTATACTAGGCAGAGGGTAGTTTATAACTAGACTCTGCACGCAGGGTATGAATAGGGTGTACCCACTCATAAATTTTTGAGCTTTTTATGTTGCTTGAAGTTCACCAGTTTTTTCCAGCATTGCTATTTAAAAAAGAAAATGTTACTTAGTAAAAATATCCTTCCTCCCTAAAAATACCTTTTCTTAGGCAATTGATTCACATTCTATAAGTAAGAAACTTCATATCAAAGTCTGTTGGTGTTACAAGTTACATGTACATTGCTTTTCATATCATTATGACTTGAAAACATTTTTGCAATTATATTGTATCGAGAATCACGAAAATGATTTTGTGATCTAGAACTGGATAATAAACAGACTTTCAAAGTTGCTCTCCATTTGTGTTTTATATTGTAGAAGAAACTTGGAAACAGACCAAAGCATTTTTAAATATATCACTGTTTTTCAGAAAATTAACTAAAAGGAAATAAATCCAAATCACCATGAAAAAAATACATGTTGATTTATTTTTTCCTGGTTAGGATTTTCTTTATTATTTTAAGTGGCAACAAAGGAGAATAAACAGTGAAAATTGAATGTTTCCATTTGAATCCTGATGATATATTGATATATTATGCAAAAATTAAATATCTGATCATATGGAAGTAATTTGGCATATAATACTCAGGAATTCAGAAATAATCTTGATTTATGTCATTTCAGTCAAACTGATGTCATATTTGGAATCTACATGTAAACTAATACATCAAGAAATGTGGTTTTGAAGAGTTTATCATCTTTGAAAATTTAATTTTCTTTGAAAAAAATAGACTTCTAGGTCGGGGAGATTTCCCATAGACCCCATGTTGTAAAATCAAAAAAGTGAAATATCTTTTCTTGTGTGTTGGGCAGATATTTTCTTTTACTGGACATATTTTAATTTGCATAACTATCAGAATACATAAGGGTAATATGAAAAGTGAACCACTAAAACTGATGATTATTCAATTTTAAGGGAACTTTGTAATACCCTGCCATATTATTTCCCCCAAATTAGCCACCTGGTGGCAAAACTGGTAACTACCTACTGTCTTACATCTGAGTAATTGAAAAAGGCATCAAAGTTACCTTATAGTTTGCTTTGTTTAAATTTATTGCTAAATACCCTTAAAATCAAACATCATGATTTGATTGAATTTGTTGAATTTTACTCTCGAAAGAAGGGTTGGGATGGCAGAGTTACTCTCAACTTGTCACTATAACCTATTTGTCTTGGTAATGTTGGTTGGCCCCTTAATTCAAGGCATTGAACGATATCTAAAAGAGTTTATCTAAAGTAGATCTACATATTGTTTCTACAGATTTAATATTTGCATGGGCAATCTCATTTCCCCAGTCATGAATAGAGTAACAGATATTTGGAACCCAATAACACTGAAAACAGCAATCCCTTCAGTATCATTTTGTTAAGAACCTTTGGAATTCTGAAAACTTAAAATAGAACATTTGAAATCAAAATAAGCTTCAATGTAAAACATGTAATATTCATTCAGTTTTCTGGCAAAGTATGTCACAGATTTTTTCTAAAATGACGAATTTTCATGAAATTGGGAATTTTGACATTTACAGGGTTTTTATTTTAAGATGTACATGTAATGATAAGAAATGGTAACTATTAAAATTGGCAATTTGTAAATATATGAAGTTAGATACTTTCTATCTACAGGTGTCTCTTTCAATTAACTGACCTCAATATATGGGCCTATTATACACAAACAAGAATAATTCAGATACTTTTCACATATAAACATTTTATTTATATAATTTCATCACAGACAAATAGTCAAAGTCTACTAATAAACATCTATTAATCAACATTTCTTAAACATTCTAAAGTATACAGATCAAAACTAGAATAAAGAAACTCCAAGCAAGGAGTACCATATCTCAAATCATTGCCAAAGACATCAGATTAAATCCTAATAACTAGTCTGACAGGTATTCTATAAAAAAACATCATTTCAAATATGATACAGCAAAAACTATTGTATATACAATGTACAAACCACACCCAGTGATCAGAAAAAATGAAAGAAATTTTCTGGCAGAAGTCGCCATATCCCCCTCTGTCTGATCACTGGGTATGCAAGTGAGAAAAACAAATGTTGGCCAAACCAGTAAAAAATGGCAGCCAGCCAGCAGCCAGTCATTTACCCCTTATGATTCTACAACATGTAAAATCATTTCCAATATCTTCTATTTTCATAGTAGACATGAAAAAATCAAATGAATATATTTTGTAATAATAACGTTCAATCCAAGGCATTACATGCCAATGTCACCACATGTAAATCTCATCATATTTCCTTATGCACTCTTTACTCCTGTCCACACCATTTCTAATGAAAATAACACAACAACACACAGGATACACAATATCGCACCCTTGAATGGAATACACTTTTTGGATGGAAGATCAAAATCAGCCACCTTAACATTTTCCCATGCCAAAAATCTAATCAGTTTTAGATTTTCATACAAAGAAACATCCCTGAAAATTTGAAATCAGTCTGTAAAACGGTTTTCCTAGAAGTGTCTAGACAAACTTTACCAGACAAAAAATGGCCACCTTAACATTTATGCCTGGCAAAATGATCTCAATATAGCACGACCCAAGGGTCTGATAAAAAACATCTTAAGATATAAATGTATAACATTATATTAATTTAAATTGCCATTATGTACAAATGCCAGTCGATTATCTTTAAGCTTCCATCAAGCTTTCTAATGCATGAAACGGTCACAAAAATATTTGTATATAATGAATCAATGTAAATGAAGTTATATATACAATGTATATCACACAAGTCAGTTGCTATTTTCCACAGTACCCATTTCAGATATAATTCTTGCAATCTCAATTGAGGTTTCATCATTTAGATCTCTAAGGGTGGTAGTAGTGTTATCTGTAACCTCAGGAGCCACACTATCTGAACCTTCAATAGCATCACCACCTTCATCAACAGTTTCAGCAATTATAATTGGAACTTGTTCATCATTAGTTGTTTTCATGACAATATGTTCATCTGGTGTTTCCATGGCAGCCTCGTCTGCTTGTGTCTCCATGGCTACTTCCTGGACCTCCATTTGCTGGAGTCCTTGAGAAGAGTCCTCAGATGTACTTTGCTGGATAACAATCTGTCCATCTTCACTGACATAAGCAATCTGAGTCTCGCCATCCTCTTCACCAGCAGGGTTATCTTCAGCTCTCTCAACAATTGTGTAGCCCCTAATCTCACCATCCTGCTGCTGACTTGATTGAGCTAGATTTGTAAAGGTAATCTGGCTTTCAGCTTTTCCACTTTGTTGTTCTATATCAACTACTGGTGCACCAGATGCTTGTTGAGATGCTCCCAAGACATAGATACGACCATCACTTCCTTTGTGAAACTGTATTCCTGGAATGTTAATTCCTTGGGGGATACTGTTTTCATCTACAATTAATCCACCGTGATGTTCAGATGTATCCAACTGTAAAGGAATCTGATGTTTTATGCCACTTATACCAGACTTTGCTTGTTTCGGAGGCTCAGTGATAAGCATGTGTTCTGGGACAGTTAGACCTTCCACATGTTCTACTTCCATATCTTCTTCATTGGGGTTCTCCTGGTCCCCCTCCTTAGAGCTATTGGGCTCCTGGATGACCATTACATACTGAGGGGTTTTCCCATCTGATGTTACAACTGGGGCGCCATCTTTGTCAGTGAGGATGCCCATTCCAGTGTTGTCATCCTGGATACGCACTTGAACACCAGGTGGCAGACCTGTAAAGATAACAGGCACAACATTTTTTCTGTGAAAAAATAATATTTTTTATTTACAGAATATATTTCTTTTTTAATAGATCAATACAATTAAAGGTGGAGCAAAGACCAGAGATAAATAGAATTGATTTTAAAGGTTACCTATTGTATAATTTTCTGATTAGTTCTCTTTAAAATTCAAAGTGGCCATATTAAAAAAGAATATTTTTCTTTTTAAATAGATAAATACAATTAAAGGTGATGCAAAGACCAGAGATAAATAGAATTGATTTTAAAGGTTATTGTATAATTTTCTGATGTTCTCTTGAAAATTCAAAAGTGGTCATCCAAAACCTTGAATGGTGGGAAAATTGAAATTTCAATGCATGATGTAATGGTTTTTACATGTAAATCAATGATTTCTAACAATGTACTGTTGATTGTAAATATTCTATATTCTATCATATAGTTTGTTTCATGAATAATTTGTTAACTGCGAGTTATTCAGAGTTTTTCTTTTCAACTTTGTTCTTTTGCTGGATCAGTTGGGTAATGAGAACTTATTTCTTAAATTCCTGATAACACAAATCTGTGAACATATTTCTCTATACTTTTACAATTGGTAGCATAGAGCTTTAAAATCTGATTGCCTTGCATTTATTACATTTAGTGTCTCAAATCTTGTAATGTTTAGGCCTCGTGATAATAAGTGGCCAACAGCATAAGCACAGGTCAATCACTCCTGAGGCATGAATTTGCACATACTGACACACCATTATACTGAACATCATACCTTTGATTTTATGTCCTAATGAAGATTTGACTGCCTCCTCCAGGGCAGAGCTAGACACAAGGAACTTGCGGGACTTGGGCCTGTTACATGTACCAGACTTCTTATGTCTGGCCAGAGTTGATCTCTGTGTGAAGGCACGACTGCACAACTCACACTGGAATGGCCGGATAGACTAAAACACAATTCAACAACTTAAAAACTTGAGGTTGTGAGCTCAGGTCTCACTGGGGTGTTCAGCAAAGGATTTAATTTGTATTTCAAATGATTCACAATCAATCATATTTTCAGAAACAGTGCTTGTTTTGACACAAGCCTATAAAATATGAATAGACACATCAGCAAAGGAGTTAATTTGTATTTCAAATGACTCAAAATCAATCATATTTTCAGAAACAGTGCTTGTTTTGACACAAGCCTATAAAATATGAATAGACACATCAGCAAAGGAGTTAATTTGTATTTCAAATGATTCACAATCAATCACATTTTCAGAAACAGTGCTTGTTTTGACACAAGCCTATAAAATATGAATAGACGCATCAGCAAAGGAGTTAATTTGTATTTCAAATGATTCACAATCAATCATATTTTCAGAAACAGTGCTTGTTTTGACACAAGCCTATAAAATATGAATAGACACATCAGCAAAGGATTTAATTTGTATTTCAAATGATTCACAATCAATCATATTTTCAGAAACAGTGCTTGTTCTGACACAAGCCTATAAAATATGAATAGACACATCAGCAAAGGAGTTAATTTGTATTTCAAATGATTCACAATCAATCATATTTTCAGAAACAGTGCTTGTTTTGACACAAGCCTATAAAATATGAATAGACGCATCAGCAAAGGAGTTAATTTGTATTTCAAATGATTCACAATCAATCATATTTTCAGAAACAGTGCTTGTTTTGACACAAGCCTATAAAATATGAATAGACGCATCAGCAAAGGAGTTAATTTGTATTTCAAATGATTCACAATCAATCATATTTTCAGAAACAGTGCTTGTTTTGACACAAGCCTATAAAATATGAATAGACGCATCAGCAAAGGAGTTAATTTGTATTTCAAATGATTCACAATCAATCATATTTTCAGAAACAGTGCTTGTTTTGACACAAGCCTATAAAATATGAATAGACGCATCAGCAAAGGATTTAATTTGTATTTCAAATGATTCACAATCAATCATATTTTCAGAAACAGTGCTTTTTTTGACACAAGCCTATAAAATATGAATAGACACAGGATAAGACACAGGTACTACTTGGAGAGAATAACTTTTAGTGTCGTACGCCTGTAATCAAATAACAAGTCATTTGGAAAAAGTTTGTCCTGCAGATTAAAATATAAGGTAAGTAATAAAATGTGAACATATTTCACTGGTTACATTCATCTGTGCCTAAGGAGTTCAGGGTACCTACCTGGTGGATAAGAGTGTGTTCCTTTAACGTGTTCAATTCATAGAAGGCCATATTACAAACACTGCATGCATACTGTCTCTGGCGATCTGTATATAACAAAAAACAGAACAAATTGAACTAAAGCAATTGTACGGCATTAGAGTTTGAATATGCTTCCAAAACATAATTTTCAATCATTTAAATCCTAAGCTCTATCTTTGAAATTATTCATATATGTAAGCATAATAAACATGCCTCTAGTTTGTGGTCATGTATGCAGGACAGTGTTGTGAGGTATATGCATCTAATTAAATATAAACATAGTTGATTAGATATGGGTACTCATCATGCTTCATGTAATACTTTAAGTTATGATAATAACTATTTATGAGTTCAGAGTTAATGAGTTAGTTTACATTATAGTGAAAACTCTATCAAGATATTTATCAGTACTGTACATCTATTTTGTGGACCATATAGTCAGTAGAGGACAGGGGGGGCAATGGTGTCCCCGTAAATTATCATCAGCCACATTTTTCAACAACTACCAACATGGGTGACATTGCCTCTGGTCTTCTATATACAGAGTGACACAAAAAATCACAAAGATTCCATCATATTTAGAAAAATTATTCCATTTAGAGCATAACATTTTTTCATGCCACCCTGTATATAATATATCATTCCACATAGATTTAGCCTTACGGGTATGCTTGCGCTCTAAGTGCCTCTTGAAGTTAGTCCTGTTGGCTGCTGCAAAGTCACAGAAGTGACACTTGTAAGGTTTCTCCCCCGTATGGCTTCTTGCATGGGCTATGAGGTTGGGCTTTTGGTTGAACTGTTTACCACAAACCTCACAGTCTAGCTTCATTCCAAGATGTATGCTGCAAAAATACAAGGATCTTTGTAATTGTATCAAAATAATATAATGTAAAACATAGCTTTATATAGTTTAAACTTGCTCATTTTATATTCATGTTTTTGTACATCAGCTGGATGCACATTTTGCCAAAGGGCATTAGTACAAATGAATTGTGCATGAAATGTATAAGAATGCCTGGTACATAAGTTTTGTTGTGAGTTGTGTTATCCAAACGATTTGTTTGTTAAAGCAGACGATCCAATGTAAAAAGTATGTGTTACCTCAGGTCATTGAAATGAAAATTATATACTCAATCATGGAATCTAAATCTAAAATTGATGATCTGAAAATTGCCCCATCAACTGACAAAAACATTGCACAATTGGTCACCTAAGAAACAAACTTCTTTATTTTTATGAATAAAGGTTCTTAGTTTTTTATGCTTACGAGGAATTATCTAGAGATTAAGCCCCTTTAAGGCATTTTCAGTATTGTCACTTACTTCATATGTACTCTCAGAGTACCAGTACTTGAGAAAACCTTATCACAGAAAGAACAGAAATGCTTGTCCTTTGTGCTGTGTACACCGGCATGTCTTGCCAGGGCATTCTTGCTGGTGAATACCACTGAACATTTGTTGCAGTTATATTGTGGGATGCCTGAAAGACACAATGTGATACATGGCAAAATGACAACCTGTTTATTTCAAATGATTACAAAATACTGTAACTATTTGGACACTGAGTGCAATCCACCAAAAGCAGAATACTTTTACCCTATTACAGGGTGGGCAATAAAATATGGGACACTTGCTCTTTCTTAAGAATATCTTGGATCACACAAACAAATCTGGAGTCTTTTCGTATAACATACTCTTTAATTCTGACCTAGATAATTAACACTGTGGAACCGACACAACCTTATCTTCAACCAGATTTACTATGAAATGAGAAAATTTTGAACCTTTCATATAAATTGGAGAAAACAAACATATGACTGTTAGTGTATTTACTACTATTAGTACATGTACCTGTATGGGTAGTAATGTGTGAATCCAGTTGTGCTTTACTTCCAAACTTTGCTCCACATTTCAGTTCAATGACTGGCATTTTATCTACCCCAGTTTCTTGTCCATTGGTCGGCTCTGGTGTTACTCTTTCCAAAAGGGATTCACATATATATGGTTCCCTACCATCATGGCTTAACATATGTCTAAAATATAACATTTTACAATATATTAACTCATGGATGTAATTGAATAACAAAAACTTCCAAAGACACAAACATGTACTTTATAGATTTTTCAGCATAAATGCTCAACAGTATTCAGTTGAAGAGAGACAAGATTTCAGGACAAAATATCCAAAATGGCCACCTCAGTTGACTGGTATTTGTGCTTTCAAATATTACATTTTTACAAAAATAGCAGCCATTTTGAATTGAGTGACCTAATGGGAAATTCATTCTTGAGCAGAGGTTCTGTTTGTAAAGCACCACCTTATGAAATTCGAACCAAATAAATCACGTTTTGACAGTATTTGAGTTATCACCTTGACAGGCAGACAAACAGACAGCTACCCTATATCGGATCCATCTGCCATCCTTACTAGAACTGTTATGTAGAATATGTACATTTCCAATACTTACCTATGTTCAGAGAGTTCTCTTCTTGTGTTAAAGCCTTCATCACATGTTTGACATTTCAGTTCACCAAGAGAACCTTGATAGTACATGTCAAACTCCTCTTTCTTCATCTTAGCACACTTCCCATGCACATCAGTCAGATGCCTGTTCACCTAGAATTATTAAGAAATACTATGTGTAATACCTCAGGGCTCTAGAGTATGCCACCTGACTACAATGCCAACCAGTTTTCACTCTCAACAAGGTACTTGAAAAAAAAAGCCATGGGGCAATGGACTGAATGCTGATCTTGTAAATTGTGGCAGTTATGTTTTCAACCTAAGTTGTGAACCCTGCTATACCCCATCTAGCAATAACTGGTCCTGTGGAATATAATGCCTTGATAATTTGTACATTCCGAGATCAGGTAATCATTGGTTTTATCATGGACATTGAGAAATACAATGATCATGGTTCAAAGTTGTTTTCACTTTTTCAGTCAATTATTGTTCATTTTTTCCAGTACACATCAGTTCTTCCCCTATCCTCACCATTATATAAAAAACAAAATCCCGGGATAGGTGTTACAATGCAAACAATAGAGAACACAATGCACATTATGAATGAACAATTAGCATTAAAAGGTGGGTTGCTATATTCTCAATGATCGTGATATAACCTGTAATTACAAACAATTTACAATGCTATTACTCATTATACTCTACCTGTACAAGAGATGTGAAGTCCACATCACACTCTGGGCAGGGAAACATTGGTCTTATCCTGTGAAATTGGTCTACATGCTGCGCAAGTGCCCTTTTTGAACCAAAGCTCTCTTCACACCCATCAACCTCACAAAGGAATGGGACAAGTCCGCCATGGCTGTCAGAGTGTTGGTGGAAACGTACTTTGCTGAGGCTTTGGTAACCCTTGCCACAGTCACCGCATATGTAAGTCGGAAGTTCAGATGGACCAAGATTTTTCTCACTGTCCTGTATTGTCACACGAAGATTCACTTTATGATGGTTCCTGAGATGTTCATTGATGTATAGCATTCGTCGTGCCGGAATAGCACATACTGGACATGCTGCAGTATTTTCCTCGTAATGGTGAGTATCGTAGTGAGACACAGTAACTGAGAGACTACCAAAGATCTTGAAACAGTCATAGCATTTATATGGGACTTTTCCTCCATGCGATTTTGAGTGTAGATGATACAGAAGGCGCTCTTTGGTTTGGAATGAAGCGCTACAATAAGATTCAGGGCATTGAAACATTTTCTTTAACATTGATGGACCTTTTACATTTTGGAATCTGCTGCCTGTCACATCATCTGGGCTGTAATCTGCAATTTCAGGATTTTTTATAACATTATCTGTGTTCTCCTCTCCATCAGCAGCAACATTATCTTGTTTCCCAGTTTCTTCCACATTCTGGGCAGCATCCTCTGGGGGTTCAAATTCAATATAATCATCACTATTGTTGCTGAGCTCAAGTTGGAATAGATACTTATGTTGTTGAATGATGTGGTTGTTATGCTCTTCTAAGGACTTCTGAACAGCGCCACAAAGGATACAGTGTAGATGTTGTTCTGTCTCATGATTAGCTATGTGACTGTCTACTGCATCCTGCGAACTGAACATCAAGCTGCAATCCACATCAACGCAGCGAACATCAAAGTTGCAGGGCTTCATCCAATCATTTTCAGAGAACACCTTGGTGTTTATAGTCTTCGTATAACTTTTCCTGAAAATAAAATTTTGGTTCCGATAAACTTATCTATTGAGCAATTAGGTCATCTATATCAATCAATGAAATAATTCTGAGCTATAATATTATATATGGTTAAAATGGTACATAGAGGGTTTAACAACGAATGCAACCCTCTCATTTCTGTTAATTATGATGGAATCTTATATTTCTTGTGTAAATGGGTTGTTCAATGGGTGAAACAGTGGTATGGGGATTCATAAGAAGTCTGACTTTTCTTAGGTAACAAGTCCCAGTATACAGATCTCAACCAAATTTGGCACATGAAAGAACTAGGATATAAGGCATTGTTTGGTTTTACAAATCAATTCATTTGGTTTCCTAGCAACAATGGTTGCTGTGGTAACCCAAAGTAGGGGTTAACAGAACAGTTTAAAAAATTGAAGGACTTTATCAACATAAATATGCTCATAAATATCTCAAAATGACAGTTATTTTCAAATATTTGGTTTCATATTGTCTCAAGCCTTGTAGTCATGACAACCGTAACATATCATCATACTATTGTGACATCACGCAAAGCAGTGACACCAGGACACTACCATTTTCTGCTCTTCTTGGATGGAGCAGAATTTGATGAAAATAACAATAAGAATTGTGTATAAACATCCGCCCTGTGTCAAATCTAATGCCTTGAAGAAGTTTTCAGTATTAGACAGCTTTAGAGATTTGCTGGAAGTCTATGCTTACCATGTGAACCCAAAGCTTAAGGATAAACTACGGGGTACCAATCATCATAATGAACTAGAACTGAAATACGCCGTTAGAGCCGAGATGACCAATCTTGGAAAATATGGTTTCGAGGGTGCATACCTAGAATGGCTGAGAAGATGCCAAAAATGCATCAATTGTTATGGCAAATACTTTGAGAAAGAATGAGATTGCACCTAGTCTTGTTCAAAATTCACGGGGGAAAACAAGACCTGATGATACAATGAGCTTGCTCCGCAGTATCATGACTGTGTAACGGGTCTTGATGTATAAGTGAGCTCGGTGGTAGGTTCAAACAACGCGGATCCTCAAAGCATGTGCTCATGGTATCATCGTGGCTTAACACCCGTGAAATTGATGTGCTCCACAAAAAATCTTATCAGAAGTCATGGATTAGATCACTTATCACGTCCTGAATATCGTTAAGACTGGTATATTTTACAAGAAATGAGTGACAAACAATGTGTTCCGTGAATCCTGTTGTGATGTCATAATTGGAACTCACACTTTACGACAGTTGGGAGAAGCTTCATGTCATGTACACACTATAATTATCACATGTCTGTGGTTCTGTGTTCCAAATTTGAATAAAATCTGTTTGATATGAGTGAAGTTATGGCACTTGTCCCACTACTTATGAATCCCCCACAATTGTGTAACATTATAGTGATCTCATGATTCAAAATTCTCATAAATTCTCAATGTACATGATACAGACCAGTAAATATAGAAGAAAAAATAACCATAAAGAGGGTCGTAGTTTTATTTTTCAAATGTGCCAAAAGGTGGATGGACAGTTGGATTGACAGACTGATCAACAGGGAGTTCACAATATTCATATCTAAGTTATTCCCTTACCCTATTAATAATTTGGTAAGTTGATGAAAGTACACTTTATAAGTGCATCACAAAGACAGGATTTAATGGAGATATTCTTTAAATGGGTATAAAATCAATTTATCAATATATGTGACTCAGTAATTAAGGGGTTAAACAGTGAAAGAAGGAAAGTGGTCTTTTTTAAGTCAAACACGGAATTAACAGGATATTGAAGCTATTGAAGCAGTCCAGAGGAGGGCAACGAGATGCATACCAGGATTCCAAGATAAAGAGTACTCCCAAAGACTTATGGACCTAAAGTTACCATCACTTGTGTCCAGGCGCTTAAGAGGGGATATGCTTGAAACTTGGAAAATCCTCAATGAAAAATACGACATTCCAATTAGCAATATATTACCTCTTTCACAAAACAAAGGGAGAATCTCGAAAAAACAAAGCAGATTGGTTTTAAGACAAGGATTCTTTACCCAAAGGGTAGTAAACACTTGGAATTCCCTCCCCCAAGAAGTAGTGGAAACTGATGACCTGAATCACTTTAAGAGTAAGCTTGACAAACTATGGAGGGAGCACCCAGCCAAATACAACTATACTGTAGAGCCTTGAAGTAGACACAAGTCAATGCTAAACGATTATGCTCGTTTTTATCTTATAAGAACGGCTAAAGGTCAAGACGACCTAAGCAGTGAAAACTAAAACTATAACTAACATGCAAAGTTCACCTCCCGCCATCACAGATGCAGTAAGCTTTTGGTACTGACATAAAAACTGGTTTTGACCCTACCCTATTAATGCACATGAGACACATGAACAATCAAAATTTGATTTGATTACCCTTTGTAAAGGCCGTCTTGTGCATTCTTGCATACTCCATCTGTTTGATGTTGCTTTAACGTAAGCTTAGTTGCAAAATACTGGTCACAAAATTTACACTTCGATGCATTCGTGCTCTTGCTGACCAAAGCATCTTCTCCTGAAATGAGACAACAAAAAATACTGGTAGTAAGTAAAACATCCTGCCAGACAAAATCTTTTCTATATCATTATTAGAAGGGCATTTTCTCATTTTAGAAAAACAATTCACTGTAAATGTGTAATGTAAGTTTGCAGCATTGGTGTTTTGATAAGAACATTGGTATTTGAGATTATGAAGAATTTTGGTACAGCAAAACCTCTGTTAGTTGAATACTTTTCAGTCCCAATACCAACTGAATTAATATTAAATGATCCTCTACAAGTGGAACACCTCCCAAGTGGAACACATAGAGAAGTACCAAAGATGTTCCACTTAGACAGGTTTTACTGTATTTTGAAATTGGAACATATAATGACATCATGTATTCTGATATTGTACTTCCAGTAATTTTCATTCTACTTACTTAAAATCCACGATTTAATTTTCATGAGAAAGTTTACCAAAAATCGAACAGGCAGTAATCTTAACATACCTGTATGTAGTCTATTAATGTGCTTGTTAAGATCTATGACTGCAGCTGTTTTGAAGTCACAGTCACCGTATGGACAGTTGAATGGTTTGAATCCATCATGACTTTCTGAACGCCTGAAAATAGAGTTTAGCCTATTGACTTTGTCAAAAAACTAATACACATTGAAAATAACAAATTGTAAAAACTGTAGATGTGATCTACTTATCATGTTATTCAATCTTTTATGAAGTTTCAGTTCCCTACATGTATATCATTTCTTATTCTAGTATTCTCTTACCACAAATCAGGGACTGAAGGTGTTCAGATAGTGTGGATACGGGACAAAATATTTGGAACAAAGACAAAGGCATTTTTTTACTTGTTACTATATAAAGATGATAATTTTACCTGTGTAAAGATAGTAGCTGGGTATTCTCGAAATACTCTCCACATTCCTTACAGCTATATTTGCGTCCAAATTCATCCTGGTTAGCAGGTGCTTTGGCTGCCTTTTCCAAAATCTTTCTTGCTTTAGTTTTCTTAAATGGTCCTAGCTTGTCATTGGACTCAGGGTCCATTTCATCTTGATTGTTATCATCTCCTTTATCATCATTCTCTTCACTTTCCATGTCATCAGTATTTTCCCTGATTTCAAATGTATACTCAATTTCCTCAACAATCTCGTCATCATTTTCTTCAAGTTCATATTCTTCAAATTCAAAATCATCATCAACTTTTTTCGATCTCTTTCTTGTAGACTTACGCTGTAACTCATGAGCATCAGTATTGTTTGTTGTGTTAACATTTTTGGACTTAGGAGTGATAGGATTAATGGATGTATTCATAGAGTCAGCCTTATTTTGATTTCCATCATTAATTACTTCCACTACTATACTAGCAGTTACTTTCTCTTTCTTATATCTCCCCTGCCTTTTAACACGTTTACCACTATCTTCTTTTTGATGGTAAGCCAGGTGCTGGTTATAAGTCACTTTGTTGTCGAACGACACACCAACACAGTGGGGACATGTGTATCTTGAAGGTACAACAGTCATATCATAGCTACAGACCTTATCACTGGTGATATGTTTCATATAACCATTGGCATTTGTGAATTCTTCGCCACACTTTTTACACTTCAGACCTTGTTTTGGTTTTTGGGGTGTCATTTTGGATATTTTCTTTACAGGTTCTTCTTTATCAGGAACTCTAGGTGTAGATTCTTGATCTTTCTTAGCAGCTTGCTTAGTAACCTTCTTTTCTACTGGAGGTAACTGCACCACGTGAATTGTCCTTGAGGTTTCAGTTACATCTATTTCTTTCTTGGCACAAACACTATCAACATCCTCAACAGTGCTAGGTGATTCTTGATCTTTCTTAGCTGTTCGCTTCTTCTTTCCTACTGGAGTTACCTGCACCACATGAATTGTCCTCTTTGTTGAGGTTTCAGATAAATCTACATCTTTCTTAGCACCACTACTATCCGCATCCTCAACAGGGCTAGGTGGTTCATTTCGTTTTCTTAACACTCTAGGTTCAATGGATTTTTTCTGAACAATAGTCTTCTCTTTTCTCTCATCAGGAGTTGCAATGTTCTTATTTCCAGAGGTTAATGTATTCGATCCATTCGGGTTGGGACCTGCTTTTCCTGAGCGAGTTCGATATCGTTTAGAAGGATTTTCTTCAGATTCCACTTTTGAATGGGCTGATCTTGGACGCAGTTTTACAGCTTCAAGTAAGGGATTAGTGTCTTCTTCCTTTCTAACTGCTTCAATGTGATCTCCACTTCCATCCTTTTGCTTGTTCATTTGAGCAGATTTTCTCTCAAGACTTGTGGTTACTGGAGAAGGCTCTCCAGTTGTATTTGTTTTCTTTGCTGTACTTAAACGTGTCTTTGGTCCAGTGGCGTTTATTTCAGCGAAACCACTTTTACTGTCTACTTTGATTGTTATGGGGGTACCAACTTTTGAACCTTTATTATCTTTAGATTGTCCTAGTTTGTCTTTACCCATGTCTAGAGTTGGCTCAGCATCTTTAATAACAATTATTTCTTGATTTGGCTCAGCTAACTTGAGCGCTTCAGTGGTAGTATCAAGCTCTTGCTCTTGTTTGTCTGTTGGTAATATAACCAATGTTTGTCTCTTTGCGCTGTGGGCTCTATGTGCTAAAGCACGAATTTGCTCTGAAGTGAGAGTGATTTTCTGTTTTTTATTCTGATCCTGGCCAAAAACAATTACTTGTTGGTGGGGAGGCCCGACTATTTGTCCAATATCTTTTGCACCAATTGTTGTTGTCTTAGATGCTGCACCATCAACTGTTGATGTGGAGGCAGTTGGGGCATCACTGTTTGTTTGGGCATGATCACCATCTGCATCACTGTTTGCTTGGGCATGATCACCATTTGCATCAATAAGATCTGGTGTATCCATCTGAAAATTCAAGGCAAAAGTTTAGGAAGAAATTTGAAATTAGAGGTTATCAAAAGATCGAAGAAAGATGTGTAATCATATGATATTAGTAATTCACACCCCCTGAACACTAATATGCAATGGGATATCCCAAATCTTCAAAATATAGGACCATCAAATAGAGCACCTGTGGTACTAGAGATAACGCCTCAACCACAATTGGAACAAAATACAACTCAAATCTCTGAACCAAAAACAACCAAAACTAGTGTAAGGTGATATCCATCTAGAATGTGAAAACCACCTACTAATAACTAAATCTATAAACTAGTGTGAAAAAGGGTCAATAAATACATGTACTAATATATTGAGTTCACTTATTAATATTCTCTGTCATGGGCGTAGCGCCCGGTACGCTGGGTACGCACAGGCGTACCAGATGGTTGCAAATTCGCTCCAAATACAACCAAATTTCAAACCCCCAGACCCCCCTGAATGCTTGTTTTTTATTCACTCAACTCTTGTTCCTGTGGTGGTGGCTTACTAATAGCGCTACGCCCATGTCTGTGAAAAGAAATGTATCTTTGCAACAATGTAATGTATACTGGTTATTATTCACAACTTAAAGAGAATTATATTACTGTGAAAAGAAATGTATCTTTGCAACAAGTAATGTCAAGTGATGTACGAGTATACTAGGGGACGTTCTTGTACCATTCATAGTAACGAATGTTCGCAATTCGTAAATTTATTAATATTCAGAAATAATTTAAAAGTTACGAATGAGTTATGAATTCATAAATTTGTGAATGGACCATTTCTGTACACATTCGTAAGTCATTCATAATTTTTCAATTGTTTAGAGGTAAGTTTACGAATGAGTTGACGTCATATTACACTGTTGTCAGGACAGGTACTATAGATAGTACAAGAAACGAGTTTTAATAAAATAACGTAATAATAGTCATACGATAAGTAAATCTATGTAATATGTAAATCTGGCTATTAACAGTGGTCTTACGAACAATTGCTACTACAAACGGTATAAGAACGGGCCCCTGGTTATCATTCACAGTTTGAGAGAATCATTTGAACTTTAAATACCCTAAATTCTATTTGTATATAGTATACATCGCATGACAGTATGAGATGTAACTTGTGTAAATGGAGTTAACAATAGCTAATCCCTACCCCTTGGGTGGACCCAGAAGAAAAAAATGCCGAAGCACGCCCGGTGATCGTGAAAATGGGACGGAGGGGGAGCAAGCAATTTCTGGTAGAAAAATGAACAAATCTGCAAAAATTATTTTTCAATAAAAGGTTTATGATTTAATTGCTAAACGAATAGGCGCACGGTATGGTAAAATATGTCACGTATTCTACGAATTTTTTTTAGCCGATTCTCTTCTTAGGTATAAGATCTATTAAAAAAGGCGCAAAGCCACCAACGTGCAAAAGTCAATGTTTTTGCTTTAAATCAAGCATCAACGGTCTACACAACCTGCAATAAATATTTGTAAGTGACATTATCATCATAAAATTAATGACCTTAATGACTTTACAAAATATGTTTCCATACGTTGTATAAAAAATAATAAAAAATAATTAAAATGGGACGGAGGGGGGGGGGATGGAGGGGGGGAGCAATATGTCTATACGACATGATGAGAGATGTTTCTTCACTTTATATTCAAATTTTCCCATTTTCTCCTCAATTACAATGGGTTAGGAATTGATAACAAGTTGTATTCGTAGTTAGATTTATTTATGATTATCAAAATCTTGGAGGAGAGCGTTTATCATTTTATGTGTATAATAGTTTTTATTTTTGAAGACTTATCATAAAAATGTAGACATCGCATCATATTTCTATTTGGACATGCAAGTTTTCGAGTAAGCAGTTACTAAAGTTGTTTCATTATTAACCTCGCTACCAGATATCTAGTATATGTTAATATTTTTGATTATGTTGGTCTTCAGCAGATGTAGAATTTAGACTAAACAATCTGCCAGGAAGTTTACGATTTTTGCAGATTTGTTCATTTTTCTACCAGAAATTGCTTGCTCCCCGCCCTCCGTCCCATTTTCACGATCACCGGGCGTGAGAAGTACTCGTTGCCATAAGTCGCACCCTCAAAACCCGGGTTTACTGCCGTCATCCAAATCCGCCTTTGCAATAATGTGAACGGTTAATAATTAGACTCGTTCGTGTTATTTTCGGGAGTTTTCAAACCTGGATTTAATTGTTTTTATTAGAAGGGTTCCTCATTATCAATTGTAATGTGTAAGATTCTATCCCAGACAGACACAATAGAAATTGCAACACTGGAGGATGGTAATAGGGTGGAATTGTATTTATTAAATCAAATATTATTCATATATATGAATAAAAATAAATTTGTTTCAAGTTCCTCATCTTTATTTTTTGTTTTAGTAGCCGTTGTACTGATATATTATCTTAGTCAAAATAGAGAACGAACGAGTATAAGGGGTCTTCTAGCTTTGCACATTTTAGACCAGTCATAATACGTAACTATTTCCAATATGTTTAACATCTAAAATACCAAGGAATCTATTGAAATAGGTATCTTAAGTGTAAGAAGCGTAGAAAATTCTCCCATGTTGTAATCGTACAGGCAAAAGAATGCTCTCACTGCAGGACTATAGTCCTGGTACAGGTACCCCCATAAATGTGGGGTTATTTTGAGGATTTTTAATATTTGAGAAGCAAATGTCTGAAATATCAAAAAACCTCAAAATAACCCCACATTTATGGGGGTAGGTACGGGATAAGGATTTTCTATCACCATTTCCTAAATGGTCGTCTGAAAGCCCATAGTTTCCAATATTGTCTTGATACATATCCCTTAAAATTTGTAAATTCACATTTTGTATAATTTCATCTACTGATGTATGGCCTCTTGAAAATTCTCTTATTTTTACATGGGAAATCCTCAACTAAGATTTTCGCCAGCTAAAATGTCACTCGACTTTTTTGCAAAAAACCTTCCAAAAAGTAACAGTCGCATTAATATACATTGTCGTACTTACAAAATGATCCACCGCCTAACTTATGCACCATTGAACTCGGTAATATTGTACACGTAACTATTAATTACCGTATATTCCCATAGAAAACTGGGCTTGCTTTTCAACATTTCAAGCGAAAATTCTCTACGGAGCTTTTGTTTTTCTGACGTTATTTCTGACGTAATTTCGGAAAATCGGTAACGTGATAGGTTCAGTTCATCTTATTTCGAAAGGGGTGTCATCTATTTAGAATATTTATTTTCATCTTGTTCAGTCCTATATACAACCTGCCCTTATCCTTTTCGCTTGTAAAACCGCGTAGTAATGTTGAAATTATGGAATAGATTCTGAGAGTGGCGACATGTCGGCATCTCTACCATCTTGTGTTTGACACCCCTTGTTTTGGGCGAGTCCAAGTAAACCGCACATCCGGGTGATTAGAAAATAGACATTTTTCAAGAAAATTCGAGCGGTGAGACAGATTACTCTGGTCAAACTGAGTTTTGTTTTGGGCGAGTCCAAGTAAACCGCACATCCGGGTGATTAGAAAATAGACATTTTTCAAGAAAATTTGAGCGGTGAGATAGATTACTCTGGTCAAACTGAGTTTTTGACGAAACTTATGAAAGAATCAATAAAAGGTAGAGTCAGTACGTCTATTTCCAAACACCCCCATCAAAAAATGTAGTTAGCTTGGCTGTACTGCACATCTATGCTATGATTCTATATATATTATGTGTATTATCCACTGTAGAATGCATTTGCAGAAAAAATTACGAAAAATTGTAAAAAATATCTGGGTTATTCCATTTTTACTACAAGGTATTTTAGGGGGGTAATTCCGAACAGGAGTTTTTTTGGGGGGTAAATCCGAACACTTGCATGGGGGCAATTCCAAACACTTAACTTAAACTTAATTGTTTTAATTATTAGATTGATGGTATATCATTATATGATACCCTTAACTTATGATACTGGATCCTCTCATTCCTGCATATCAAGAAACCCAAATTTAAATCATTTATTACTGACATCTATTTATTTAAACGCACAGAGTTTGTGGGGGTAATTCCAAACACTAGCATGGGGGTAATTCCGAACACCTAAATCATCATAATTGATTATTTTATTGTAAGATTGTTGGTATGCATCATTATATTGTATCTTTCAGGCTGTAAATATTATGTAGAGGTAGTAGATGTACTATTATTCAATTCAATGATCTGCTTGCCATTATTTGGAACCCGTTCGTGTTTACCCCCCTGTTTGGATTTGGACGCATTGACTCTAAGTGATATACATTAGACGGATGCCAAAAATTAAACATGGAGCCAATTTGAAACTTCAGAATGCCTTCTGTGATTCAAAATCACAAAAAAAGTCGAGTGACATTTTAGCTGGCGAAAATCTTACAAACAAACTGTAGGCTCTGAGTGAAGGGAGACTAGATCTACTTCCCATTCATTGCCTATCACGCAGTGGCTACAGTACCCCATACGTTAACCAAGGTTGGTATACAACCCCTAGCATTCGTTATGTGCAATCATGCCCCCATATCTTAGTAAGGTACACAACGGACGAACTAATTTTGAGATATCAGCCAAAGATGAAGAGTTGACTGAGTTCTCCTGAGTTCCGTGCAACACTGGACGAAAAATAAAATGGCGGTCCGGGAAAGTTAAAAATATTTATCTTATTTCTTGCTCAATATCGCATTTATTGATAAAATGTGTGATCAGTTTGAAGCTTGAGTAGCCAAAGATATAAGTTACATCAGAGAAACATGAATTTAACTCTACAGAAATAAGCTAAGACGAAAACGATAGATATATCAAAACCTCACCTTGACGCCAGCCTCGTTTTGGAAGTAGGGGAAGTGTCACGTGAACAAAGGAGTAAATTTCCCAGGGTTCTCCTTCATCAATCGATGGCCAGCAGCGCAGTTCGGTAAATGGAGTATCTAGGTTCATTCATGGGCTTTTTAAAAGTCCACGGTTCAATCATTGATATTATCAACATTCTGTCGTTGAGACTTAATTATTACTAAATGGAATGATTGTGCTGACTGTTATGATTCGGTTGCTAAATCGGTAAATGGCCTCTGTAGAAGTCCATGGTTGTTCTAAACTAAATGGTTGTGTTAAAGGCTTTCCCCCGGGGCTTCCTATGATGGTTTCCAAGAGAATAATTGTGTGTTGTGTCCCGTGTGTCATAACTGACTGTAAATAGGATTGATGGTCCACGACGTGCTGAATATTTTGTTACGGGTTTGTCCGGGCACCTCAGTATACCGACGCGTAGCCTATTATCATGGCCGAAATTAAACCCATTATACCGACTCGCATTGTGCCGAAAACCAACATAAATGTATATCGATGCGCGTTGTACCGAAATCCGTGCCAGTGGGCCAGGGCCAGTGGGACGGCACATTGCCTTAACACCATCAGATGGCACTTCTGCGTAAGACTATATTTTTACAGCGGGAATTTCAAGTTTTTGTCAGTGCAGACATAAAAAGTTGCGGTCCTCATACTCGCGCGTTTTTCATTTCATTTGAAACTCTCAAGAACGGTGCTTTGAATCTAGCTCTATAACTTACTCTTTCAAAACTTCATGTAAGCTTAGACACATGATTATGTACACTACACGGATAAAGCACAGTAACATTATATAGGCATAGAATAATAAAAGTGGAGCCTGAAAAGTCAAATATGGTGCTATGTTGAAAAGCCAAAAGAAATTATACTGTATCAGCATATAAAATAGATAGTTTATATATTACTTTATCATACACCTTGGTTCAAATTAATTATAAGCCTACATGATTTTTTTCATTGAACAGACAAGTCTTTTTTATTTACTTCCACAATATTTTAACTTTTAACTTTTTAATATGAGACTGGATGTTAATCTGTTTTTTATATAGGCCTTTTCATATTCAATTAAAAGTTTATCGCGCAAAGACATATTTTCAGATAAAGCTTAATTTAAAATCTTTGAACATCTTTACATCTCAGTTGCAGCCAGATTGATGCTAGGCGTTTCGGATTGAGGGGTCGTCTCAACAAACTTAATTCCAGTTAACCATCAATTTCTGTATTTCATAGAGAATAAAGTCATAATTCTGTTATTTATGGTTTGATTATGGTAAACCCTGAACTTCATAAAATATATTTAACTGTGGTAAATTCTGTATTCAATGAAGTAAACATTTATTTATAAATTATAGATAATTGTGCTCATTAAGTGTTAAGTTTCACATTTCTTATTGAACTTGATAATTACTGATCTTGTGCTGATGGGAAAATTGTTGTCATGGAGAGAGAGCAAGATATGTTGTCATGGAGATAGTAAGAAACGCATTCATTTATTTTACTTTAAATCTTTCCAAATCCAAGTGTGATTTTCATCAATGTGTGCCTCAATGATCCCATTAGTTCTGAAGTCATTTCATTTTCTAACCATTTCACAAACATTTCTTTTCATAAAATACTTCTAAATTGGCAACATTTCCATGTTTAAATTGCTTATACAGTTTTTGGCTGTATATATATATTATCTCTATCATCAGTTTTCATCAGTTTTCATTTCACAAACGAAATATAAATTATTTTGCCCAATATTTCAGTTTCATTATTTTGAAACATTGAATACATGTTTTAATTGGCAGTTTAAAGTGGTGCTCATTAACTAAGTCCAATATTCAGCGTCCCTTTAATATCTATTTAGGGGCAAATCGATACTAGGCTTAGCAGGTCATTTGATTCTCAATTTGATTTTGATTTGAATTGATTCTTGATTGGGACCCATAGGGACTTTGCCCCACCGTTCTTGGTTGAGTTTAAGTCATGGCTCTAATTGGTACAAAAATTAAGCTGCCCACGAAAGCTTTTTTCTCCGGGGCCTTGCCATAACTAACGAAAACAATGGTGTGTACATTTCTGGATTATTTCCGGTGTTTCCTTTTGTCGCTACCTCATTTCTCAAAGTATCCATGCCAATTTCTTGACTCAGTTGAAAGCCCATGGTCCAATCAACCGTACCTCCTTATCTTAGGATGACCGCACAAAATGATAGAGCGTGGGAACGGTCCGACTGTGCCAAATGCTACGGATATTCCAGCTATGTGTTTTGTGTTTTCAAGTGTTATTTTATATATGTCCGACAAATCGAATTATGGTTTTGATACTATCTAGAGGCATACTGTTTAACCAGTGTAATACCTTGATGGATCAAGATGATGTAGATGTATTTAATAGTATATAGATGTATCGTTCATTCATTTGACCAATAAAAATCATAACTGCCTGGAAAGTACTAACTAGTATGTAAATAAATGAATAAAACGTTAAATTAAGAAGCAAAAGTCTTTTTCTGTGTCACTGCGAATGGCATGATTTCCTCGAGTCTCTTCGGTTGCAAGGCAACCATACTGGGACCAATTCGCGTCGTTCCACTACTGCCCTTGGTGGGGGCCCGCTACCATACTATATGTCTCCCGGAGTTTACTAAAGCACGTTAGTGGAGGAACCAACCACAGTCTCACAATCTGTCTCCGGCAAGAGCGGCCAGAGAACCAACCCATGCCAAGGGCCGGTAAACGGTTGGACCTTCGGACCGGGTGTCCGTAGTGACAATGATCAACAACTCCGTACCTGGGGCTCGAACGCGGGACCTCCGTAGCCCACGACGTTCAACCGCAAAGAAGCCTCAGTCTACGCCACTAGGCTACCCTGCTTAGGTGTCAAAACTGCTAAAAATAATATAGTTGTTACAATTATTTGCTTGGATAAACTTGATATTACATTTCTTCATTGATTAATCTGATTTAGTTGGAATCGAAGTTCGACCAACGATCAAGGCAATGCAATCAACAACTCTTGCAAATGTGAACGGGAGTCGTAAAGACAGAAAGTACAAGAATAGTGATAAATGTAAAGTATAATATTTAAGACACATCTTTGAATAACGGGTAGGAGAACATTTCAAAATGAAGAAGAATCATTTAGAACATTTGATTTGTTGACCATAAATCAATTGCGTCTCAAATGAATGAAATAAAAGGTATCGCGGGCCACTAAAGCCGATGAGTGAAAACATAATTGACGCATCTATAACGGTAAGTGAATACTGAATAGGTTTGTGTAGATACGTCGAGGAAAATAAGCTATTTCGACGCTTGAGATAATCTGATTACGCTTATTAATAATTACGCGTGGCTATTAAACACAAGTGTTGAGTAGAACAAAAACAAGAAAACTGTGTTCAAGATATTTTCGCATGTTCAAAAACACAAAATTTATATTTTAGATTTTCCATATTTTGTCAGATATTAGGCTACAGGGAAAACATAATCATGTTTCCGAAAAGATGGTGAGTTTCGAGTTGATACTGTTGCGAGTTCGTGATTGTTATAAATGGGATCATCTTAATTTGATTGTGCAGTCAATCGCTTGGCTGCGGGTCGATTGAATTGTGTGAGTTTACAATGAAAATCGGGGGGGGGGGGGGGGGGATCGGGGTTTACAAAAATAACCGGGGGAAAATCGGGATTGATTAGGATAATCGGAAAATCGGGAGTTTACAATAAAAGGGAGGAAATCGGGGTTATGATCCTGCAATTTAACCAAGCTTTAATCATGGTTTTCCGTATTATTCATTTGGACCCTCACAGCACAGCAATAGTTAAATATCAGAAATAATTGTGATAAAGCATGGATGCGTGTTTGTGTTATACATGAAGTCAAAGAACTGTCAATAAAAACGCATCTATGTGTTCAGTACGTTGTATTGAATATCTCAGTCTCAGAATGATCGATTAAATTTCTGGTTTCAAATAGTTTAAAGAAGATTAATAAGCAAACGGTATGTTTTGTAAGCTATTTCGTTTTATCACAAAAAAATGCCTTTGCATATTTCACCATGTTCCAACTTTCATTGTTCCACTCGGAATGTTCGAGAAATAAAAAATCTTGATTTCTCCCAATTTAAATTGGGATTTGACAGGTGAGCCCCGGGAGGTGAGCAAACCTAAATAATGGGTTAATCTGCCTATTTACACCCTATGCAGACAGAGCCTGTGGGAAATATTGGGTGCGGCGCAAATGAGCGGAGGGTGCGGAGCTAACGGTCATTTTTGAATTTAAAATTGGGATATTTCTCAAACTAAGCCGTTTTGGGACTTCAAATATACCAAAATATGTGTATTTGACACCAAATATCAATAAAATTGTGAAAATAGTAGTGCAATTCATTTTATAGCGACGCAGTATGCCTTAAACATTTCCCAGACCTATATATTTTGAGACTATCCTTTTAATACTGCGTCCCCAGCATTCATAAAAAATGGTGTTCAAGATACACTACCCATGCAAATTATTTTTGCATCTTGGAAGCCAGGCAGTATCTGTGTGATTTTATAAAAATTCGGAAATGTTCTTCAGATATGAGCCCCCTCTAAATATTGGGTGCGGAGGTACGTTTTATGATCTCTGATCACTTAGTCAACTAACAATTTGTTCATCATTTCAATTTTAATTTGACGGGTTAATTTATGAAGGGTTGCATTCGCGAATACAAGCTATGACTTTAAACCATAGTAATTGTTGATTGATATTGTCAATAGATGGCCCAATCGAATCTCTGTAAATTCATATGCACAGGTGTAAAAGGGTAGGAGGTCCTATCAAAATTGATCCATTGATTTATGTGGTGACCTAAATACAACTCTTTCCCTTATTATCTTATACACAATCAGGGCCAGTAAGGGACGTTTAGAAAGGGGACCATAATCCCCAGGGGACCATAATTTCTTTCACACCGGGTCAATGTAAAAAATGGCAGAAGTGGTTGGACTCTCATAAGATTGAATAAATATCTATTTAAGAAATATAGACCAAAGAGCAGGGTTTCTAGTTTCGAATAACACCCCGCTGGTCTCGGCACAAACGTTTTCTGTACCCCGAACGACCAAAGGGAGGTCTTTGAGGTCTATATTACGATTCGAACATGAAAACTCACCAAATTGTTTCGAATATTCATCATGGTCCGCCATTACTACGACCCACCGTTATGACGTCACATATTACACGTATTAACTGGGTGATTGATCTCGAATATAACCCAGCTGAAGCATTGACTTTGTTTACAGTTTATAGAAGGCGTGAATACAGTCATGTTCGAATAATTGATAATCTATGAAGGTCGAAACTGTATATAGAAAAAATAAAACAATGTAAACCAGCCAAAAAAGTGTTTTGAAAATGTCTGTGTTCCTCCTTCTAGATATAATGATATTTATAAGTGGATCAACAGATTTAAAAACACAAAAATTATTTTTGGGAATTATTATATGAGGTATTTCTTTATTTTGTTTAATCTATTACTTTCCTTGTAAAATCAAAATAAAATGTGAATAGTATTAATATGAAAAAATCACAACCTACTGAAATATATTATAGTAAAAACTATCAAAGTGTAAATACCCTTTTCATAACTATAACAAAAAATATTGCTCAAAATCTGAGTATGTATATAACACGACTAAAGTTGATCACTGTATTGCCAATCTGACAATGAAACAAATGTTTTATGTCTCAAAACTTGTTGCCATGGTAAACAGAATTGCCCAAATTTTACCAGGCTTGTAACATCTCTATAAGTGTCACTTGTATAAATCTCTTTTCATCCAACCATAATATATTATTAATAATACTTAATAGTTATATACTTAAGTTATAAAACTCATCACACCTTGACTTAATTCTGTTGATACGTTATTGCAATAATAAATGTTGATAGGTCAATTGGTGGGTAACATATATTGTATATTGCCACAGGTCCACTAAAACTGATAACATTTATACATGTGTTTACAGTAAACACTTCAAGTCAATTAAAAGACGACTTGTTTCAGTATTGTTCAAAACTGTTACAAAAATGTAACAATTGTTACACTTGGCAAATATGCAAATATCAGCTACTATAAAAGTGAAGACTAAATTCGTAATAACATGGCATTAACATGACAAAATGTCACCACCTAGTTGCTCATAATATTATGAGTTCAATCTTAAGTCAGACTTGAATTTCTGAGAACTTGTAGGAGATTTTGGAAAAAATAAATTGGTCAATTTGAAGCAACTTGAAAAAAGACCTTTCTGACCCTGAGAAGGTCATTGAAGGTGAAATCTCAAATCTAAAGTCAGGATTGAACTTCTGAGAACTCGTAGATGATTTTGAAAATATATTGGTCAATTTGAAGCAAGATGAAAAAATACCTTTTTGACCTTGAGAAGGTCATTGAAAGTCAAATCTTTTTTTTGACCTTGAGAATGTCATTGAAGGTCAAATCTATAGTCAGATTTGAACTTTTGAGAACTTGTAGATGATTTTGAAAAAATAAATCGGTTAATTTGAAGCAAGTTGAAACAATACCTTTTTGACCTTTTTTGACCTTGAAAAGGTCACTGAAGGTCAAATCTTAAATATAAAGTCAGATTTGAACTTCTGAAAACTTTTAGATGATTTTCGAAAAAAATTGAAGTCAGTCTAGACAGTATTTGTTAAGTTATTGGAAGTTGTAAGAATTTGTTACAGACACCAACCATCAACCGCAAACCACCAACCGCCGTCAAAAAAATGGAGACTATAACAATATGTCACCACTTTTTGGTGGTGAAATAACAATGTGACACCACTTTCTTGATGGTAATATGTAACCAATCAGCAGTCACTTTGAGAGTATACATGTATGTTCAAGTAAAACTCCTTACTGTATTTCTACTTAATTTGGCGGCCATTTTAATTTGACGGATCCGGCAATTTGTTAAAGTCCACCAAACTAAGTAGCCGCCAAATGTTCAAAACAGCAAATCCACCAATATAAGTAGCACCAAATAAGTAGAAGTACAACATGTCCAAACAGTACTAAAATATCAAATAACATTAAGGTGACAAAATCAGACATTATTTTTATGCTTATTTCAATAAACCAGCTGAAAGTTAATATGTGAAATAAAAAATTAATTAAATATCTATCTTATACAATTAACATGATATATCGAATACAAAATGGGTGTTATACAATTTACATCATGTACATGAGTATATTAAATTCAATCGAAAAAACCTGCTTTGATAAATACAGTAGTGGCCATCTTTAATATTTCTTCTTGACTTGAACAGAGCTCCTTTGTCTCTAGGTATCAGCATATAAAATATAAAGCAAATTCGTTCACTGGTATCTGAGTTATTAGAGATTATGTTCTTTTACGAAAAATAGCAGCCATTTTGATATTCAGCTCCCAACTTGAAAGTACCTTCTTGAGCAGAGCTCTTGTGTTCCTTGGCATCAACATAATCTGGACTACATCGGTCCAATCGTATTTGAGTTACCCAACATTATATAGTTTTTACAAAAATGGTTGCCATTATGAAATTCAGTTGCCATCTTTAAATTGCTTCTTGATCATATCTTCTACACTAAGTATCAGCATATAAAATTTGAACCCAATCCATCCACTGGTATTTAAATTTTGAAATTCTGAGGCTATCTTGAAAATCACTTTTCGAGCATAGCTCCTATGTTCCTAGACATCAGCATATAAAATTTGAACCAAATTGGTCAACTTGTATTTGCATTATCAAAACTTACATATTTTACAAAAAATGGTGGCCATTTTGAATAACCCAGATGCGAGTAGAAATAATCTTGATTTACGTCATTAAAAATTCTATAAAATCACAAAAAATGAAATATCTTTTCTTTTAGTGGACAGATAATATTTTGCTTTACTGGAAATGTTTTCATCTGTATAAGTATCCGACACATAAGGGTTATATGAAAATTGAAGCCACTTAAATTGACAATATCCAAGTTTAAGGGAACTTTCTTATATACCTGCCATGTTAATTGACCCGAATCAGCCAAATGGTAGTGAAACTGGTAACTACTTACTCGCATTTGGGTAATTGAGTAGTCATATTGGAAATTAATTTTTGACCAGAGGTTCTACACTCATAAAATTTTAGGTTTTGAGTTATCACTCGGACACGCTAACGAATGATGAATGGACGGATGGCTGGTCTATATCCCTATGAGCTTTGTTCGGTGGGATAATAAATAATATACATCTTTATCATGATAAATACTTGTTAGGTATTTACACTGGACTGATACTAGTAGTTATAAAGAATAAACATCTTACACTTAGTATTTTGGTTAAATGATACTGCAAATGACATTTTTTACAATTCTGAAATTTTTATTGCAGATGATTTTAGACGGTCATACGTGTATCTTTCACCATGAGTACCCTCTGGCTATAAATACAGTGGTTTTTATTAAAACAATATGTTTTATTTCAAGTGAAGTACCCATGATAGTAAAATATCAATCCAACTCTGGAAAATTATGGATTAGGACCCCACCTTGGTACTTTTAAAAAAATGTTAGGCTTATTTTCTAAAAGGAGGATCTTGTTTTTCTCAATTTAAACATATCGAACGTTTGTTATACAATATATTAACAATTCCTGAAAAGGGGATGGCGTTTGAAATGTGCTAAAGTTAAAAAACAAATATCCCATGTTATTTTCCCTTAGGAAAAACTTATGCTATCCATTGTTTTCAGCATAATTTTGGTCATCAAAATTGATATCTTCAAAACTAAACTTTCAAACCATTCTACATTACTTTTGAAGACGTTTACATCCCTTGTTGAATAATCTTTTCATGCAATAAAAAAAATCAGAAAAAGAAGATTCTCTTTTGAGTAAATAGTTTCAACATTTTGAAAAAATGATGACGTGGGATCACTATTCATAATCTTTCGAATTGTTCGATTTTTATCAATTTTTATCATCACGTGGACTTCACTTGAAAGAAAACATATTGTTTTAATAAAAATCACTTATGCCCAGAAAAAAACTCATGATAAAAGATATGACTGTCTTAAATCATTTGCAATATGGTCACATGGTCCTTTGGGTATACAGCTCATTTTGCTATGAGAATTACATTAATTAATTATTAATTATCTTTTATGTTTACACATGTAAATACCCTGAAAGCTATAATTTTCACTGAGGAAGGGAGCCTAATACTAACTTCTCCCAGGAACAGAGCCTATAACTTATAAATATAAAGCTAGAGTTCTTAAGAAATCAAACTAATATTTGAAATCTACAGACAAAACTGTGGATTTAATAATAATGTTCAGTAATTTTATAATAGTCACACCCTTTGGAGTCACCCACGCTACACACCTCCTGTTGGTAGAGTAGATAAAGGGGTCCGGTCTTGAGGCAAGACTGTGATTTCTTTTTACTGAGTCCATAGTTTTACAACTTTAGGCCATCCAACAATGTCATGATAATAATTATGGAGTAATTGTAAAGGAGTGGTATCGATATTATTCTATATGGAGAACTTTTTGAACACACGTTTCTCTTAAACCAGTCATCAAATAATTCTGAAAATTTTACACATCGTCAATTTAATGGTCATCTTTTGAATGGTAACAATATAATTTGACAAATATGTATATACTTTCATCTATATTGTTTTAGAAAACACATCAAACACTTGTTTTGTTCTTGGTATCATGTTTCAAGAGTGAATGAGACATCTTTCCGAACCTCACTGGAACAAAAAGACATAAACAAAACATGTTTAGGTCTCTCAATATTGTAATTTTACAAAGGAAATTTTGGTTGATTTTTAAAAAGTATCTTGTTAATGAAATAAAAGGTTTATCTTGATTTTTATCTATTTTGACGGAATTTTGTTTTAATTTTTTGAACACTTTTTTAAAATCAACCAAAAATTCCTTTGTATAACTATATAATATTGAGAGGTCTAAATAGTCGGGTTTGAATAGGAGATAAGTTCACAGAATATTTCAAAAATATATAGAAGCAATCTTAAGGTGGATTTCAAAACTTCATACCATCCTTTTGAGAACCTGAAGTGGCACCAAGCAATCCATTGACTTTTTCACCAAAAATCCAAGATGGCCGCCACAATGTATCGAAAAATCATAAAAATTGAATAAAGTTGTAATTTAATAAGTCAAAATAGTTGTATACTGATCAAACATGAATAATAATAGTACCTATTAGATGTTCATATGCATTTAAATTCATTGGATCATTTTTGTATGAAAACTGGAGTCCCACAAGGCTCAATTTTATGTCCGCTACTTTTTTTGTCTAATGATTTGCATTGACCATGGCATTTGCACATAGCAGTGGTTACTTATCCATTTTTGTAATGTGTGCACCCAGGACCACATTTCACCTTGCACCCATACTTGACCAATGCTTGGCATGCCTTGGCTGCTTGAGGAAGGGATGTCAATAGTGGCACCAGTAGAGACATGTCATACTTCCAGCCCCATGTTGTGAACTCCTATACCAATTTTAGATGGAGATTGTACAGTTGCCCTCAAACAATACCACCTTGGTTAGCAAGTTCTTAAGATTTTCTGAGCAAGGCCTCCTATTGTTGGTGGTATTCTACTACGAGGGGTGATCAGGAATTTCTGGACCGTTGGCTCTATTTTTGTCATTTTTTATTCTTTCTTAGTGATTTTTTCACACAATATAACTCAAATATATAGGATCACACCATGAAGATTTCATTCTTCTGTGAAATCATTATCTTTTTATTCTTGTTACCATGGTAACTGGTGAAGCGACAAGGTGGAGCTCAGAAAAATACCAAATTTGAAAAATCAACAGTAGTTTTACATGCCACTTTTTGACACTGTTTTCATTGCTGAATATGTTACAAACATACTGAAATAGGTTGTATTATATCTTTAAGTATATCCATTAATGTTCATAGTAACTGTCATTATTCTTCCATCAATTCTAATCCTCCAAAGTAGTTACCAGCATTTTGTAAGCATTTGTTATCCCTTTTCACCCATTCCTGAAAGACGTGATACAGACCGTCTTTGCCGACAAAATGTAATTGTTTCCATCGGTTGTGGCCGTGTACCACCACGTATTCCCCAGACTTAGCTGGTTATGATTTCTATCTTTTCCCAACAGTGAAGACCAAATTATGAGGTATCCACTTTGAGGACAGTAATGAGATCATTCAGAAATTCACACACCAACGTACAAAGTAGGCAAAGACGGTCTGTATCTTTCAGGACTGGGTGAAAAGGCATAACAAATGCTTACAAAGTACTGGTAACTACTTTGAATGATTAGAATTGATAGAAGAATAATGACAGTTACTAATAGACGAACATTAATGAATATACTCAATGAAATAACACAACCTATTCAGTATGTCACATATTCAGCAATGAATACAGTGTCCAAACATCATATAAAATTACTGTTGTTTTTCATTTGGTATTTTTTCTGAGCTCCACCTTGTTGCGCCACCAGATACCATGGTAAAAAAATAACAAAAATAATAGGATAATGATGTCATAGAACAATGAAATCTTCATGATGTGATCCTATATATTTGGTTTATATTATGTGAAAAAATCAGTAAGAAAGGATAAAAAATGGCCAAAATAGTGCTAACGGTCCAGAAATTCCTGATCACCCCTCGTATATGGCCATCACAGAACATTCGTGCTGTATTGATATCTATCTGGTTGCTGGTTCGATCATATAATAGAACACAGTAAGGTGTCCTAGGGACTGAGTGGCCTGAACTGACAAAGCAAGGTTTGTTGTAACCATTTGTACCACTTGTAAAAAAGCTGGAGTAACTTCAATGAGCACATTCCATAGCTTGAAGGCAGATTTTTTGCTATGGCCAAAGAATGGTGAAGCTAATATAATATACTGTACTCCGGGTAAATTTCGACGCTATAAAATTTTGCGATTTTTCAAAATTGCGATTTCGCGGCTATTTAATTTCGCGGATTTGAGTTGATGACACTATAGCAGATTGCACAAGTTGAATTTTTTCCGATTACCATGAATCAATGCGGGCTATTTTAGCCCGTTCAGAATCCGAATAATGTTTGTATTTCCCACATTTGGGGAATTTATTTGAATATTCTTGAATGGCTTTTTCAACTTCAATTTGTAGGATATCATTGTCGTCAACGGTTCTTGCCTTTGTTGCCAATTCAAAATGTTTTTAGGCCTTCGCCCAACAACACTGGAAGAAACGTTTCATACCGAACGAAACATATCAAAAGGCCCGGGTCAAATCCCCGGGGATTTAAGACAAATTTCGCGACGATAAATGTTCGCGATTTTACTACATTCGCGAACAAAGCGAAATTAAATCGCACGCGAACATTACCCGGAGTACAGTAATTTAATACCTGTAATTTTTGAGAGGTCCGAAGGCAATCCAGATTGACACTTATTGCGCCCTTAAATGCTGCAGCCATGGCAAGAGCAACTACATCAGTATCTCAACTTCTGATTGTGAAGTCTTTTACCCTCTGAGGTCATGTTTTATATGAACAAAGAGTCTCGTGTCAGTTTCTTCATGAGTATCCAGTATAAGGTCCAGTCATTGCTGTATCTGGCAATTGAGGAAAGCACTGAATAGATTCTCCAATAGAAGTTATCATTTGCTTGTCATTAACATCAAACTCAGACATAGAGTTGGCCAGGAATGCAAACAGCCTAGTCTTGTTCCGTTGATTGTTAGAAAAGCTGGGCAATTCTTAGGCATCGCATTCTCTGCATAAACTATCCCTCTAGCACCAGTGCCACGATGAATCCTTGTTAGGGACTTCTCACTGTTTTGTAGGTAAACATTCCAGACAACATCTAGGAACACCTTCCATAAGCTACCTTAACTTGGGATGAAAGGACCAGTTTCTTGACATTTAAGTAAGTCTGTCGTAGGTCACAAGGCTCTGTGCTTAGCTAGGGATGATGGGATGCCAATCAAGACACGTTGACATGTCTGAGTTTTTCAAACATGAAAAACATGAGTTCCCGCCATCCTTAGCTAAGCACGGAGCCATGAGACCTACAAAGAAGCAGACTTACTTAAATGTTGAGAAGCTAAGCCAGATGGATCTGAAGTATTGGAAAAAACCTGCAGATGCAATTTTAATAGATGGCACCCTTCTGGTCTATGTGATGCGTCCTGGTGTGGCTACCAACTTCCAAGAATATGCTACCAATGTCTCATCCCAAGTTAAGGCAGCTTATGGAAGGTGTTTCAAGATTAGATGCTATCTGGGATGTCTACCAACAAAACAGTGAGAAGTCCCTGACAAGGATTCATCGTGGCACTGGATGGTTTATGCAGAGAATCCGATGCCCAAGAATTGGCTAGGCTTTCTAAGAAATGGCCAGAACAAGACTGAGCTGTTAGCATTCCTGGCCAACTCTATTTTTGAGGTTGATGTAAATGACAAGCAAATGATAACAACTATTGTGGAATCTGTTCAGTGCTTTCCTCACTTGCCAGATACAGCAATGATTGAACCTTGTACTCATGAAGAAGTTGACACTAGACTCTTTGTTCATGTAAAACAGATGACCTCAGAGGGAAAAAAGACTTCATAATCAGAAGTGGAGATACTGATGTAGTTGTTCTTGCCATGGCTGCAGCATTAGTCCACCCGCTATGGCTCAGTGGCAGAGTCAAGGTTACCAATTTCGCTTGGCCCCGGGTTCGATTGCCGGTTCAGACAAGTTTGTTTGTGCGTCATGTAATTCTGGGTGTTTGACTGAGTGGTTCACGACTTGTATAAAAGGCTGTGGTGTGTACCTGTATGTCTGTGTACCTGTGCACACAAAAGAACACAGGGCTCCTCCAAGGAGGGGTTTCTGGCTCTGTCTTCGAGTGTAAAATATTAGTCGCCAAATATGGCGGTAACCAAGATATAATAATAATAATTAGGGCCCAATAAGTGTCAATCTGGATTGCCTTTGAACCTCTCAAAAATTACAGATATTAAATTATATTAACTGCATCATTCTTTGGCCATAGCAAAGGATCTGCCTTCAAGCTATGGAATGTGTTCAAGGAAGTTACTCCAGCTTTTCTACAAAAGAGTGGCACAAATGCTTACAACAAACCTGGTTTTGTAAATTCAGACCATTCAGTCCCTAGACTGTTTTACTATTCTATTTTACGATCGAACCAGCAACCAGATAGATATCAATGCAGCACGAAGGCTAATGTTCTGTGACGGCCATACAGTCATTGACAGAATACCACCAACAAAAGGAAGCCTTGCTCAGAAAATCTTAAGAACTTGCTAACCAAGGTGGTATTGTTTGAGGGCAACTGTACAATCTCCATCTAAAATTGGTATAGGAGTTCACAACATGGGGCTGGAAGTATGACATGTCTCTACTGGTGCCACTATTGACATCCCTTCTTCAAGCAGCCAAGGCATGCCAAGCATTGGTCAAGTATGGTTGCAAGGTGAAATGTGGTCCTGGGTGCTTACATTTCAAAAATGGATAAGTATCCACTGCTATGTACAAATGCCATGGTCAATGCAAGTCATTAGACAAAAAAAGTAGCGGACATAAAATTGAGCCTTGTGGGACTCCAGTTTTCATACAAAAATGATCCAGTGACTTTAACTGCATATGAACATCTAATAGGTACTATTATTAGTCATGTTTGATCAGTATACAACTATTTTGACTTATTAAATTACAACTTTAGTCAATTTTTATGATTTTTCGATACATCATGGCAGCCATCTTGGATTTTTGGTGAAAAAGTCAATGGATTGCTTGGTGCCACTTCAGGTTTTCAAAAGAATGGTATAAAGTTTTGGAATCCACCTTAAAATTGCTTCTATATAATTTTGAAATATTTTCACCTAAATATTCCTGACTAAAAAACATGTTGTATATGCTATTTTGGTCCAACGAGGTTCGGAAAGACATTTTATTTCATTCTCAAGAATCAGTAGAAAGGAGCAAAAACAATTGCACTAAAAAACAAAAATGTTAACAAAAACAGTTATATAAAATATTTCTAAATAATTTTCGCATTAAATTGTTGTCAATCAGTCAACATTACATAAAATACTGTGTTTTTTTACAGAATGTTTTCAATGATTGGTTTAAGAGAAAAACATTGTTAAATTCAGTTCTTCATATTGATACCACTCCTTTACTCCAAAATTTGACAGTCCACTATCCAAAAGTAACCTGGTATTAAATAATGCAGCATACTATGGAATCAAAGGACTACGTTCAGGTATCTCCTCTTTGGACTTACAACGAAACGTTCTTACAAATTGATATAAGGCCAGAAATAGTGTACAGGAAGCTCCCATAAGCCCCATAATAAATGCTGTCCATGAGAAACCTACTTTCTCAAGTAAAAATCCACCTCCTATGGAACCTCCGAGTCCTCTGAAAAATAAATAACAAATTCAACAATTTTTGAAGAAAATATTATTCTACAGTAAGTGGATACTGAATTTTTCCAGTTGATTGAATAAAACATTTACCAGAATGAAGCAACATCTGTATTGGGAAATGAAAAGATATCCTAAAATTCAATGACTTTCAGTCATTATAGTTTCACAAAATGATATGCAAAATGATATATAAAAAGGATATTCAATCAATAAATCACTGCGATAAACCATTGAAGAATTGAACAAAATTTAAAGATGATTTTTTTTTGTCAGGAGACACTGCTTCTATTCTATTCATTCTATACAACCTTTGACACCATGCACATCTAACGAAAGTACTTGGCTCACATGCAATGTCTTTTCAAAAAGAGTTTCAGACTTTTTCAACTTTTGCAAGAGTTCAGTAAACTTGAATGAAAACATGATATTTTGACAATAAAAGTCCTAAAAAGGTGCCAGGAGTATTGAAGGTAATAATAAAGTTTCTTAGCTCACCAAAAGAGGGCATTATGTACTTACAGGACTTATCTGTGCTTATTGTGTATTGAACACAGCATTGTATGATTCACAGAAGTATGTTTTGATTATTTTAACGTCTTCTTATGAGTGAGTCTTAAAGGCTTATCTAGAGCTGTACAAATATTGTATTTAGATTTTCTATGTTCCTTTAACACTGGTCAGTGTCATGATAATGGCCACTGTCTTTCAAATTAACTGATATTGACACTTACCATCTGCTATTTAAAAAGCAAGGGCTATTACATTTTGATGCTGAGCAGTGTTTAAATAGTTCTTTTTTAATTCTTATTCCAACATAAATTGAATTGGAAATTCTGGTCTTACCCAGCGGAAAAGGCTGATGTGTAAAGTCCTGAAGTTATACCATAAGTTTCAAGATTGTCAGGATATCCACTTTTACTGAAAAAGAAAAAATTATACTTTATCTGAAGCCCAACTTAACTCTATACATGATGAAATAAATAAATCAATGAAAGGAAGAGGTGATTTTTCCATGGTATGGACATGGTTCCATAGTGGTTGGGCTGGTTCCAAGCCTTCATGGGGATTTTGGGGATTTTTCTCAGATTCAAAGCAAATGCATTTTTCTTTTTGAAAAAGCTACATATCACTAATCTATCCTCTTCAACAAATTGAATTTCATTCAAGATATTTTGTTGAAACTTATAATAATCACGGATAATTAAAGTTCCTGTGTGATTCCTAGTGAATTTATGGAGTTTTCACTAAAAATATGTGATGAAATTTTGACAGTAAACATGGCCACCATTTTTAAACAATTAAGGTGAGCTTTTGAGACACTTCCCGTGGATCAATGGTTCTTATATAAATATATTTCTGAAGTGTAACCATTTAAAGTATAAACGCATGTCATCAATGTGTGGACAGACAGACAGACATACAGACAGACAAAGCAGGTGATAACAATAACTCACCAACATGATCTAGCTAAGGTTACTCCAAACATTTAAATTGAATATCAAATGTTGTTTTAAACATTCAAAGAAGATGCACTTACAATGCTGCGATCAAAAGTTCCTGGAGCGGAGGTACTAAAAGAGTAGAAAAGCCCAAGCCTAGCATGACACTGCTTACAATATTCAACCAGAGTGATTCTCTGGAATAGTAAAAGAAATAAACAAAGTTACGTAATAATGTAAGAAAATATAGCTAATTTTTTGATGATATTGCATTCCCATGGTAACCAACAGTTTGTTGGAAATATAAATTTTCTCATAGAAAATACATAAATACATATTATTACCACCTTGCCGGGCCTATTCTATGGGATTAGTGCTAGTTTAGAAGGCTTTTATTTACTTTATTGACCTGAGCAATATGTGATGCATAGTGGCGGGCAATAGTGGCGAGCCAAAATTGATATTTCATTTTCGTTCAATGGCAGTCAGTTCTTGCTATTTCAGCCCTGGGCATAAATGGTTGTAATAATACTAATAATGTCATCTTTGCAGGCAAAATAGTGAAATATTGGACCTTGTATTGGACTTGGTCCAATATTTCACTTTATTGCCCTTTGCAAATGGGAAATGGCAATAACAGGTAAAATAGGCACTTTATACATAAAATGAATGTGGATATGACTTAATAAGAATAGCAGTTTTAATTTGTGCGGGTAATGTTGATGGACGAACCAACAGACAGAGACAAACCTGGCATATTTTAATAGATCATAAATAACCATTTAATTTTAATAGGAACCATTTATTGTGCTGTTGAGTAGCTTTCAAAATGTTACTTACATTGGAAGAGACAGAAATGGCACCGGTCCCATTAATGAAAATGATACTAAAACCAATATTCCTCCTAAAGCCATTGAACTTTTACACCAGCCCTACAAAATTAAAAAAATTATATAATAGTTGAGAACAAGGCAAAGTATATGACCAAATGTCATCACCTGGTTGCATATATTGTCAAAGAGTGAAAATGTAAGTGGAAGTCATTTCGGTTCCATGGCAACCAATATTGCTTTAACTCTTAAGATGTCTATAACATGCTAAAGCAAGCTATCATTTTATACTTGTTTTAGGTTAACATATTAAGTCATCGGAAATATCTGTGATAAGTTCATTACTAATCTTTTTCAAACATAGATTTCTTCAGTGCCAAGAAAAATCTTAGCCTACATTTGAAGTACATATTAAGAGTGGTGATGTAGACGAGTATTCTAGAGCTTTGGTTTTTTTCTTAGAATTCATCGCGATTAGAAGATGAAATTCCTGGAGCTATTTTGTGAGTCTAAGATCTGCGATTCATACGATTCATATTCATATGTATTCATGAATCTATAGCAAAGCCTGATGTCTTATGCATTGTGTAACTCATGATCACTATATGAGTTGATGAAATAAACATGAACGAAATCTTACTTATTTTGAAATTTATTTTCCAAGTACCAATTCACCCAATATACAGGGTGACCAATGTCCATAATATAAAGTCTCTTAACACTTTACATATTGTATTTATGAAGAGACTTTTTGGACACCCTATATTACAAATTTACCTTTTTATCAAGGATACAGCCAAGAAATGGTGATGCCAAGGCATACACTGCTGGCCCCACTAGGAACACAATTCCAACCAAAAGTGGACTTAAATGGAACTGGAATAACAAGGCATTAACATGACAAAATGTCACCACCTAGTTGCTCACAATATTATGAGTTCAAACTTAAGTCAGATTTGAATTTCTGAGAACTTGTAAAGTCAAATTTGAACTTCTGAAAAGATGTAGATGATTTTGAAAAAAAAATTTGGTCAATTTGAAGCAAGTTGAAAACAGACCTTTTTGACCTTTTTTGACCTTGAGAAGGTCATTAAAGGTCAAATGTCAAATCTAAAGTCAGATTTTAATTTCTGAGAACATGTAGATGATTTTGAAAAAAAAAATTAGTCAATTTGAAGCAAGTTGAAAAAATACCTTTTTGACCTTTTTTGACCTTGAGAAGGTCATTGAAGGTCAAATGTCAAATCTAAAGTCATATTTGAATTTCTGAGAACATGTAGATGATTTTGAAAAATAATTTAGTCAATTTGAAGCAAGATGAAAAAATACCTTTTTGACCTTTTTTGACATTGAGAAGGTCATTGAAGGTCAAATGTCAAATCTCAAGTCAGATTTGAATTTCTGAGAACATGTAGATGATTTTGAAAAATAATTTAGTAAATTTGAAGCAACTTGAAAAAAGACCTTTTTGACCTTTTTTGACTTTGAGAAGGTCATTGAAGGTCAAATGTCAAATCTTAAGTCAAATCTAAAGTCAGATTTGAATGTCTGAGAACACGTAGATGATTTTGAAATTTTTTTTTAGACAATTTGAAGCAAGTTGAAAACAGACCTTTTTGACCTTTTTTGACTTGAGAAGGGTATTAAAGGTCAAATGTCAAATCTAAAGTCAGATTTGAATTTCTGAGAACATGTAGATGATTTTGAAAAAAAAATTAGTCAATTTGAAGCAAGTTGAAAAAAGACCTTTTTGACCTTTTTTGACCTTGAGAAGGTCATTGAAGGTCAAATGTCAAATCTAAAGTCATATTTGAATTTCTGAGAACATGTAGATGATTTTGAAAAAAAATTTAGTCAATTTGAAGCAAGATGAAAAAATACCCTTTTGACCTTTTTTGACATTGAGAAGGTCATTGAAGGTCAAATGTCAAATCTAAAGTCAGATTTGAATTTCTGAGAACATGTACATGATTTTGAAAAAAAAATTAGTAAATTTGAAGCAAGTTGAAAAAAGACCTTTTTGACCTTTTTTGACTTTGAGAAGGTCATTGAAGGTCAAATGTCAAATCTTAAGTCAAATCTAAAGTCAGATTTGAATTTCTGAGAACACATAGATGATTTTGAAAAAATTTTTTAGTCAATTTGAAGCAAGTTGAAAACAGACCTTTTTGACCTTTTTTGACCTTGAGAAGGTCATTGAAGGTCAAATGTCAAATCTTAAGTCAAATCTTAAGTCAGATTTGAATTTCTGAGAACACGTAGATGATTTTGAAAAAAAAAATTAGTCAATTTGAAGGTCAAATGTCAAATCTAAAGTCAGATTTGAATTTCTGAGAACATGTAGATGATTTTGAAAAAAAATTTAGTCAATGTGAAGCAAGTTGAAAAAAGACCTTTTTGACCTTGAAAAGTTATTGAAGGTCAAATGTCAAATCTAAAGTCAGATTTGAACTTCTGAGAACATGTAGATGATTTAGAAAAAAATTGAAGTCAGTCTAAACAGTATTTGTTAAGTTATAGGAAGGTGTAAGAAATTTACAGACGCCGGACGCCAACCTCCAACCGCCGGACGCCAACCGCCGGACGCCAACCGCCGGACGCCAACCGCCGGACGCCAACCACCAACCGCCGTCGCAAAAAAACGGAGACCATAACAATATGTCACCACTTTTGGTGGTGACATAAAAAGTCATCATCACATGGAAAGATTTTGAGTCCTTAATGTATTCTACTGTATAAATATACAGTATTACATAAAATATAACGTAAAATGTTAATAAGTGTCAAAAACAAAACAAAATGTTGAGATTTACAAACTTTCGATGTATTCATACATCTTCATCAGGTAAACTGATAGCCATGTGGAATTCTTGAAAAACTGTTATGATAACAATAAAATTCCAAAGGGATTCTCGGTCAAATGGAATTTTTCTGACTATACAATGAAGGGTACCAAAGACATATTTAATCCCATTTTAAGAGATTCTTCTTTGTCTTTAATGAAATCAACAATAAATGTAAAAATTGGAAAATATACATGAAGAAATGATGTTACTTCATAAAGACATTGAACTTTACATAAAAGTATGATATGTACAATATTCTTTGGCCGATCAGATCACAATCACTTAAATAAAGATTATATCAAAAATGATATAAAAACCAAAGATCTATATCAATTTTGTGATATATCCCAATCTCTGTTATATACTTACTGGTTTTAAATGCAGAGAATATGCGACATCTAAAAAACCTATAGTGAGAGCTCCCACAAATATAATGTAATACACTAAGAATGTGATAGGCATCTTGAACAATGACAGTATAGATCCCTGCATATTCTCTAAATCTGAAAGAGGATATCAAATTGTTAATGGCATTCAATGATTCATACAGTGCACTTTTAGCATCGTTCAATCTATGATATTCAAGCAGCATCATAAAATTGGGCCATTAGATCAGATGTAAAATTTGAGTAGGATAACAAATACATCCATGCTATTCCTGGATCTAATAAATGGAAGAAGTTTCAGTTGAAAAAAAACCATATGAATAAAGGAAAGGACTAGGTATAGTATGGCAAGTGATTTTATCTTTCACCAGGAGTACTCACTGGCCATAAATACAGTGGTTTTTATTATTTAATAATAAAAAGTGATATCTTCAAGACGAGACTTTCAATAACATTCTTCTTTTGAAGAAGTTTTAGACCCTTTGTTGAATAATCTTTTCATGCAATAAATATCAGAAATAGAAAATCCTCTTTTGAGTAAATAGGTCCAACAATTTGAAAAAAATATTGACAAAATTCATAATTTTGAGAATTGTTTTATATTTTTGGTATCCTTAAGAATTTATTTGAAACACAACACATTTTGCTAATGAGAAATGTCATATTTAAAGGCAGAATCAGATCTATGGGGTTAACAAAATTTCAAGCAACATGTACAAATAATATATTATTGTAAAAACCTTTAGTTTTCCTAAGTGCACACTTTGGGGATTTCTAGAAAATGGACATTAAAAGGTATGATATGAGCCAAAATAATTCTAAAATTGAAACGTTAGGCTGCTCACTAGATGTGATTTTCTCTTTAAATTGAGAAAGTAATCATGTAAACTATGACCGTCTCCAATTTCTTGCCCTACCATACCTGGTCCTTTTTTGTAAGGCGAGGCAACTGCCTCATGCCTGACTAAAGTTGGATTTTGGGAGATGTAATTTTGAACTGTAGAATACTGCCACTTTCATAAAATTTTGTAACCTTCATGAAAACACCTTTTTTCAGATTACTATGCTCCAGTTAAACCATTCTTTCCTAAGAAAGATCTGAAAAATCTATAAGGCCAAATAATGGCTCAAATCTAGTTTTCTAGCCACAATCATGAACATCCCTTGTTATTTTTGTTTACGATATATAATAATTATCAGTAGTCTTATTTATTTTAAATCACTCACTTTTGGGTGATGGGAGCAACCAAATGCACAGTATTGCTATAAATGTGACTAGAGCCCCTGAGACTACGAAGGGGAGCTTAAATCCACCAGCCTACAAAGTTAAAAATGAATTTTTAATGATTATTTTCTGTCAGGGTACAGCAAACCCCATCAAACATCTTATTGAGTGATAATCTGGTACAGTTATGCAGCCATTGCTCATTATCACTCAATATTGCTTTCCAGTTTTCAAGCATCTGCTGTATAGTTGATGGTGGACATCTTTAAAATGGGCTTTGGATCAGAACTTCATAGTTTATAAGGATATATTGCTTTAAAACCTGAACTAAATATGATCATTGCTTGAGCTAATGATGTTACCAATAGAATGGATGGACAAACATGTGTGGACATCCGGATGGCCATGTATTTTCTGTATCCCTTCAGATTTTGTTTGATGGGATAATTGGCGAAGTTACACATAACATAAAATAATTACTTACTTTATAAATAAGGTACATGTAAATGAGATGCTGATAAGGAGATTTTTGAGCAATTTTTAGTCCTTATACGAATCATTAAATTTAAACAACATTAAAACGTGCCTATATTTTAAAACAGTCATTGCTAGAACATGAAAATGTCAAGAGAAATAATAAAGTAAGAATTGTGAGAATTCACTGTCACATTGCCTTACATTACATTGCCTGACTGTATGTTTAATGACAGTGATCTGCATTTAGTCACTGTTATTGTGAGTGAAAGCATTGTCACTACAATATTGTCAGTGCACCCTCAACCTCGAAAATAGGGTTCAATCCCATACGTTTGAAACACTTTCTCCATCATGTACATGTAAAAATATTTTGATCTCCAGATTTTTGAGTGATCTTTCACAACATTTACTAATCAATGAAGTAGAAAGCACCAAAGATGATGAATGTATAGCTACAGACTCTCATTTTTGATTGTTTTCAAAATAATATTTTTTTAATTTTTACAAATGATTAATAACCTGTACATGTACATGTATATTATGATGTAGAAAGTGCAAAAAGTGAAGTGAGTATAATATACAGTATGAAAGGACAAGATTTGTTTAATACATTATCAAAAAGTGTTGGGTTAGAACATTATAGTAAGTGAAAAGGTAGGGTCTTCTAAGTTAATGAATTCAAGTAAACTATCCTATGATGTTATTTCATAAACATGCTACATGTATCATATTTGAAATCTACATATAAGCACCATATAAATGTGGTCTTAAGAATTGTTGATTTACTTTGAAAATTCAAATAGGTACATAACAACCTAAGATTTGTGAATTTGCAAATCCTAAAATTGAGTTTTCCTAAAATTCCTGCCAGAAAAGCTTGATATCCACCCAAAAGTTAATCATCTTTAGAACTTGGTACCCTCTAACATGTTTATAGAATTGAATAAAGAGGAGATCGAGAAGATCAAGCCAACAGAGAAACAAGAACATTTGCCTGGAATGGATATCCAAATTACTTTTTAAAAAGAGCAAAGGAGAATAAAATTATGACAGAACTGAAATCCTAGATTAGTATTATCATTATCATTCCATGATTACAGCACTCAAAGAGCCTTGCTTATTTTTAAAACCTGACTTGCCCTGGTACACTTGCCATAATACACTGTAGTAGTAGTTGTATTTTACAAAGTTCTAAAAAACACAAAACAAGCAATAACACATCTACCATGCAGCTAGAAAATGTCGAAAGGGTATCAGTAAATTACCAACAATTCAACCAAACCAAAATGAGCCTGAGTATAAGTCTACCTTTGCAAGTATTTATTTCGTTTGAATGAATTGATCATTAGTAATCTAACTGACTCCCATAAGACAATGACCACACTACATAGCAAAAAATATTAATTCAACTAATATATACTATGTTAGTAAAAGGTTAAACAACAAATTAGTGCTACATAATGTACCTGAAACAATGCTCCCCCAATTACGGGCCCTATCATCATGCCCAAGCCACCAAAAACCTCTATTATGCCCTTAAATGCAACAGACATATAACATAATACATTAAAATAGTTTTGAACTTTCAATGGTAGAGTCCTTGTAATTTGGTATAGTTTCATGGGGTTGAGACATGAAATGAGAAAGGATTGGTATCGATATGGTGAACTGAATTCAACATTGTTTTTCTCAACCAATTATTGAAAATATTCTGGAAATCGTCACTGTTAAACAACAATTTAATGCGAAAATTATTGACATATTTTTATATAACTGTTTTTGTTGGCACTTTTTGTTTTTTGTTCCTTTCTATCAATTCTTGAAAATGAAATATCTTTCCGAACCTTGTTGGAACAAAATAGCATATACATATCTAAATCTAAATCTAAAAATCTAAATCTATACATGTACAACATTTTCTTAGATCTCTCAATACTATAGTTATACAAAGAAAAGTTTGTTTAATCTAACAAAAAGTATTTAAAAAATTAAAACAAAACCCCCCAAAAATAGATAATAATTAGGTAAACCTTTTATTTCATAAACAAGATACTTTTTTAAATGAACCAAACTTTCCATTTTACAATTACAACATTGAGAGACCTAAACAAGTGTATATGTCATTTTGTTTCAATGAGGTTTGGATTGATTTTTCATTTCATTCATGTTCCACCTTCATACATGTTATATTAGAGTTAACAGCCATAAACAGTACAATGAACAATGAAAAAGTCCTTCATTTCTATCAGTAAGGAGCTGTAGTTGTCAAACTGAATACCAAAGCCATAAAAGAACACCTTGAACTGAAGGTTCCTCATCTACAACTGAAAATTGGGTTAATTATTCATACTTAACTCTATCTGTTCACTGGAGACACAGACAGGAGAGAATACATGTATTTGTATAGAGATAAAAAGCGAGGATAATTTCAGATTTCTGTGTTTCACCTTATGAGGTAATACTGTATCATAGCATTGGATTGATGAATTCCCTGGAGCATTTGATGAAAAACATGGGGATTATTTCATATTGAACAAATCTATAAAAGGCCTGTATGTACACAGAACATCAAAATCAAGAACTGAAGATTTTCATAAATCATTATGGACCTTAAAAAGGAAATACAGATACAAATCTACAAAGGAATTAATTTGAAAATATGAATTCATCTACCAAAGACATGTTTGCCACAGGTATGTAGGTATCCATGGCGATAAATTGAATCAATTGACTGGTTAATATCAATTTTGTCATAAAAATCAGCAAATCAACACCTTTCAGTCAGAATTTGACAGTTGGTATTTAGACAGGTATGCATGAATCACACCTTTCAATGTAAAAAAAATATGAAGTGGTAACAAAATTGAGCCTGCTAATCAGCAGTATTTTGGATTTCCAAGGTATGAGTTTGAAACCAAAAATGCCACTTTAAAATTAAAAAGACGATCACTGACTCATCACTGAACTCAAAATATTGAAAATGCAGGAAAAATATTTCAAGAATGTCCTGTCACCAAGTGCCTAAACTTTGCAAACCCTATCAGAGATGCGTTCAGCATGATAATGGAGAATATGAATGTATATGTAACCCAGGATACCATGGAGGAAACTGCATGTTCAGTAAGTAATGTTAGTCTTTCTAACTCTATCAGATCATGCCTTGTTTATTTTTTGATCCTGGCTTTCCCATGCAGATGCCTGTTGACCATTGTGGGGATAACAGTTTTATCAATTCCTTTCTAATGTAAAAGCCACAGATGGTATGACAATGCATATTTACAAATTATATCTTATTCATGTACAGCTGTTTTTCTTTTAGGTCAAGTGTAGTTGAAGCAATAAAAGTACAGTTTGTACATCAGACTTCAAGTCTTGATAAAATTTTGAATACTACAAAGACAATAATACATGTACTCAGGAAATCTAAAGAATCATGAAGCCAGCAAAAAACAACATTAGTGCATTTGTTGTTCAAAAGTGAGAAATGTAGACATTGTGGGGAAGGAGTGATTCAAAGGAGCACGTAGGTTGTTGCAAACAATTTCAGACGGTTATATCTTGGTTTATGACTATTTTCTGACAATGAAGACAGGTTTATCTTTGAGATCCATTATCTCAAAGAAAACCAGAACAACGGCAACGCCAAAGCGTAGCGAATCCCATCGAACAGAAATGACTGACATTTTTACAAACGAATAGCAAATATCATAAAACAACACACCAGAAAGGCCACCATTTTCAAAATGGTTGCTCACTGCCAATTAAGTTGTCATCAGAAGAAATAATATGCTTTTAAGTAGCTACCTATAAAATTTTTGAAAAATCGCACACATACTTGTAAAATAACACACATAAAAATGGTGGCCATTTTTCAAAATGGCCGACTACTCCCCAAAGTTTTACTAGACAATGTGCCATGCTTAAAGTATTCACATATCAAATATGAACAAAATCGCTCCACTACTTTTCGAGTTAAAGTAAAAAATGTAAAAATGACAGCCATTTTTAAAATGGCCACCTATACTATCCGTAGTGTCATAAGACAGTATGCAAGACTCATGAGTACTCACATATCAAATATGAACAAAATCGCTTCACTACTTTTCAAGTTATAGTAGAAAACGTAAAAATGGTGGCCATTTTGAAAAATGGCCACCTTCTACCCAAAGTGTCATTAGACAGTGTGCCATGCTTATAGAATTCACATATAAAATATGAAACATACCAAATATGAACAAAATCGCTCCACTACTTTCAAGTTATAGTAAAAAAAACGTTAAAACCTTCTACCAAAAGCGTCATTAGACAGTGTGCCATGCTTTTTGTATTCACATACCAAATATAAACAAAATCGCTCCACTACTTTTCGAGTTATAGTAAATGACGTTAAAATGGCGGCCATTTTTCAAAATTATTTTCAAAATGGCGCCTTCTACCAAAAGTGTCATAGTACAGTGTGCCATGCTTATAGTATTCACATACCAAATATGAACAAAATCGCTCCACTACTTTTCGAGTTATAGTAAAATACGTTAAAATGGCGGCCATATTTCAAAATTATTTTCAAAATGGCGCCTTCTACCAAAAGTGTCATTAGACAGTGTGCCATGCTTATAGTATTCACATACCAAATATGAACAAAATCGCTCCACTACTTTTCGAGTTATAGTAAAAAAATATGTTAAAATGGCGGTCATTTTTCAAATTTTTTTTCAAAATGGCCGCCTTCTACCAAAAGTGTCATAGGACAGTGTGCCATGCTTATAGTATTCACATACCAAATATGAACAAAATCGCTCCACTACTTTTCGAGTTATAGTAAAATATGTTAAAATGGCAGCCATTTTTCAAAATGGCCGCCTTCAACCAAAAGTGTCTTGAGACAGTGTGCAATGCTAATAGTATTCACATACCAAATATGAACAAAATCGCTCCACTATTTTTTGAGTTACAGCAAAAATCGTAAAATGACGAGTAAAGGCCGCCATTTTTCAAGATGGCTGCCATGTGCTTCTTTAATATCTACATTTGTAGCATTATTAATGTCCTTTATAATTTTTTACATTTAAAACATATTGCTATTACAGTTTTACATATTGCACCTAAATTACTGTAAAATCGGCACTAAAATGGCTGCCATTTTGAAATGAGTGGCCATTTTGAAAATCGGCTTTCGAGCAGAACTTCTACCCCCATAGGGTATATGTGTACAAAATATGAACAAAATCGGGCCAACGGTATTTGAGTTATTGCCCGGACGGACGGACGGACGGACGGAGGCGTTCCCTATATCCCTCCGAACTTCGTTCAAGCAATCAACCCATCAACATACTTTTCAAAGATGTTAACCTCATTTGCACCGAAAATGCAATCATTTTTTACATTGTTGAATGCATTACTATTCTTTATTTTAATGTATCAAATATTTCTTGAAAGAAAAACTTAATTCCTTTAAGATAAATGTTCCCCACGTTATTTCTCCATTGAAAAATCTCATGCTATCCATTGGTTTCAGTTCATTTTGGTCATCTAAATTCAGTATCTTTAAAGTTCCTGGAGCAATCAACTTTTCCTCTTAGGAAATAGAACGTGTCTCAAAGCAAATTCTAATTATTCATTCAACAATATAATATAAAAGGTTGCATTTTTGGTGAAAATTAGGTCAACATTTTTGAAAAAGTATGTTGATTGGTCCATTGCCACTTCAATATCACTTAGGTCTGATTAAATAAATTATCATTATATATACTTTTCTTGAAGATAATGAATGGATCTAAAAGATACACCTATGTCAGCATGTTCATGATCAGAAAATATTCATAATTCAAGTTAGAATTGTTTGAAATTGTTTGCGAGTACCTACGTGCTCCTTTGAAAAATAACATGTGACCCTATTGAGGGTTGCAGCAAAATTCCGGACATGCACCCTGACCTTAAGGTTTACCTCATCTGTTTAAAGCCTCAAGTAATTTGCGATCCTGGCTAGGCCTGTGACAATATATTAATAATCAAATATTTCATTTAATCAGGTGTTTGTGATGGGCATCCATGTAAAAACTGGGGAACATGTTTTGCGGGAAGAGATGGGAGACCAGAATGCAGCTGTGCCCTGGGATATACAGGAAGCAACTGTGAAATCAGTGAGTAAACATACATACATTACGATTCAACAAAATAAACATCAACGCCTGGAAAAGTATAACAACGGGTCACTTCTTGGTGGTTACATAAGTAGTAGTGCACCAATCTCATAGATATTTATAGAAACTGACTTATTCAATGTTTCAGTTGAAGGAAGTGTCCCCTCTTCAAGCATTGGCCCAAGTGGACCTCCTACATCTGGCAATGCAATCCTAACTGTGACAGTGATATGTGTGCTAGCAATTGCATTTGGCATCATCATTGGCTGTGTTAACATAGTAAACAGGTAAGAGCTTTATGCCATGGAGATTGAACTTGAGAAGAGACTTATGCAAGAAAATGCATGATGTTTGAACCCGGGGGGGGGGGGGGTTCACTCCAATATACCTCTTAATACCCATGTGCTGCGCCAAAGACCCCCTTTTTCAGCATTTTTTCCATTTTTCCTTCCGAGATTGAAAGTTCCCATATATACTTCCTCTCAGACTTATAAAAGGGAGTGATATTGGTATATTTAACAACAAAATCCACCTTTTGGGCGATTTGTAACATTTGAGTATCTAGAAGAATCAAATGAATCGTAATATTGGCCCATAATTTGTAAACTAGCCCTTCATAAAAACTCAACTTTACTTTTACAGTATAGCAGTCAATGAGGATTAGGGCACTTTGAAATTTTGTACCCTCTTTGAATAAGTTGATTTTGCTTCTTTAAAAGAGATGTTCATTTGTATTCTTTGAATTCAAAATAATCATTTGATGTTTTATGTTTATCAGCAGTCATTAACTTTGTCCTATTCTGGGGGAAGTGATTACTACTGAACTTTGGGTCCCAGGGTAAGATTATATGTAAACTTACCCAGTTTTATTTTTCGTTTTCAATATGATTCCAGATACATAAGAAAGGCCTCATCACCTAGGGCTAGCGTGACTGTTGGAGATGATACACATCGTCACACATATGCAAGTGACTGTCACCAATATCAAGAACCAGTAAATGCCCATACTGATAATACTATACTTCATTCATTTAGGGACCTTGAATATACAGAACCTTCAATAAATAGGGTAATACATCTGGGATACAATACACCTCCTTCATTTAGAAACATGGGACATATCAGGCCTTCTTCACATTGCACAAGATACGTGGGACGATTAATAAGAGAGTTTCTGACAAGTAGGACATATTGGAATAACTCTAACACAAACAACAATCAAGGCCTTCACTCTAGGCCTCAATGGACAACAACACTTATTTTACCCCCACCTTATTCACCCGTTGATACCAATGAGCATCATGAGCTCACTGAGACAAGCACTCCATATTCACCCATTGATACCACTGGACATCATGAGCTGACTGAGACAAGCCCTCCCTATTCACCCATTGAGACCACTGGACACCATGAGCTGACTGAGACAAGCCCTCCCTATTCACCCATTGATACCACTGGACATCATGAGTTCACTGAGACAAGCACTCCCTATTCACCCATTGAGACCACTGGACATCATGAGCTCACTGAGACAAGCACTCCATATTCACCCATTGAGACCACTGGACACCATGAGCTGACTGAGACAAGCCCTCCATATTCACCCATTGATACCACTGGACACCATGAGCTGACTGAGACAGACCCTCCATATTCACCCATTGATACCACTGGACATCATGAGCTGACTGAGACAGACCCTCCATATTCACCCATTGATACCACTGGACATCAAGAGCTGACTGAGACGAACCCTCCCTATTCACCCATTGATACCACTGGACACCATGACCTGACTGAGTCGAGCCCTCCCTATTCACCCATTGATACCACTGGACATAATGAACTGACTGAGATAAGCCCTCCCTATTCACCCATTGATACCACTTGACACCATGAGGTGACTGAGACAAGCCCTCCCTATTCACCCATTGATACCACTGGACATGCTGAGCTGACTGAGACAAGCCCACCCTATTCACCCATTGATACCACTGGACACCATGACCTGACTGAGACGAGCCCTCCCTATTCACCCATTGATACCACTGGACATCATGAGCTGACTGAGACAGACCCTCCCTATTCACCCATTGATACCACTGGACATCATGAGCTGACTGGGACAAGCCTTCCTTATTCATCCATTGATACCACTGGACATCATGAGCTGACTGAGACGAGCCCTCCCTATTCACCCATTGATACCACTGGACACCATGAGCCAACTGAGACAAGCCCACCCTATTCACCCATTGATACCACTGGACACCATGACCTGACTGAGACGAGCCCTCCCTATTCACCCATTGATACCACTGGACATCATGAGCTGACTGAGACGAGCCCTCCCTATTCACCCATTGATACAACTGGACACCATGAGCTGACTGAGACGAGCCCTCCCTATTCACCCATTGATACCACTGGACATAATGAACTGACTGAGATAAGCCCTCCCTATTCACCCATTGATACCACTTGACACCATGAGCTGACTGAGACAAGCCCTCCCTATTCACCCATTGATACCACTGGACATGCTGAGCTGACTGAGACAAGCCCACCCTATTCACCCATTGATACCACTGGACATCATGAGCCAACTGAGACAAGACCTCCATATTCACCCATTGATACCACTGGACATCATGAGCTCACTGAGACAAGCCCTCCCTATTCACCCATTGATACCACTGGACACCATGAACTGACTGAGACAAGCCCTCCTTATTCACCCAGTGATACCACTGGAAACCATGAGTTGACTGAGACAAGTCCTCCATATTCACCCAGTGATACCACTGGAAACCATGAACTCACTGAGACAAACCCTCCCTATTTACCCATTGATACCACTGGACATCATGAGCTGACTGAGACAAACCCTCCCTATTCACCCATTAATACCACTGGACATGCTGAGCTGACTGAGACAAGCCCTCTCTATTCACCTATTGATACCACTGGACATCATGAGCTGACTGAGAAAAGCCCTCCATATTCACCCATTGATACCACTGGACATCATGAGCTGAATGAGACAAGCCCTCCCTATTCACCCATTGATACCACTGGACACCATGAGCTGACTGAGACAAGCCCTCCCTATTCACCCATTGATACCACTGGACACCATGAGCTGACTGAAACAAGCCCTCCCTATTCACCCATTGATACCACTGGACATCATGAGCTGACTGAGACAAGCCCTCCCTATTCACCCATTGATACCACTGGACATCATATGACTGAGACAAGCCCTCCCTATTCACCCATTGATACCACTGGACATCATGAGCTGACTGGGACAAGCCCTCCTTATTCACACATTGATACCACTGGACATCATAAGCTGACTGAGACAAGCCCTCCCTATTCACCCATTGATACCACTGGACATCATATGACTGAGACAAGCCCTCCCTATTCACCCATTGATACCACTGGACATCATGAGCTGACTGGGACAAGCCCTCCTTATTCACACATTGATACCACTGGACATCATGAGCTCAATGAGACAAGCCCTCCCTATTCACCTATTGATACCACTGGACAACGTGAGCTGACTGAGGCAAGCCCTTCCTATTCTCCCTTTGATACCACTGGACACCATGAGCCAATTGAGACAAGACCTCCCTATTCACCCATTGATACCACTGGACATCATGAGCTGATTGAGACGAGCCCTCCCTATTCACCCATTGATACCACTGGACACCATGAGCTGACTGAGACGAGTCCTCCCTATTCACCCATTGATACCACTGGACATCATGAGCTGACTGAGACAGACCCTCCCTATTCACCCATTGATACCACTGGACATCATGAGCTGACTGAGACGAGCCCTCCCTATTCACCCATTGATACCACTGGACATCATGAGCTGACTGAGACGAGCCCTCCCTATTCACCCATTGATACCACTGGACATCATTAGCTGACTGAGACACACCCTCCCTATTCACCCATTGATACCACTAGACACCATGAGCCAACTGAGACAAGACTTCCATATTCACCCCCTGATACACCTCCTTACAATGATGCATTGCCTGGTTATAGAAACAACTAGCAAGAAGCACCTGGTGAATTGTTAGAATCACCTCCTGCTTATAACAGTTTACAAATGGACAGCATCCTTCAACATGATACAGCTGCAGCCAATGGTTCATACGTGAAAATAGCTGAAGTTGCACACACCTTGGTCAATACTGAATATCTACACACTGATGCCACACCTGTTAGTCACACTGAGATGGTTGGTGACATGTCATCTGAATGTGAAATAAACAAATGTGTTCCAGATAGAATGAAACTGCTTCAATCAATGATCATTACCAACTCAAAATGACACTTAGTTAAAGAGATTGAGTTGTCCAGATTTCCCAATATAATTGCTCATAAAACATCATATACGAGGGGTGATTCAAAAGTAATGGACAAAATTTTATAGGCATACTAAATTTCACCCAATCAGTCTAATTTTTTCACAGTTAATAGATCAATCAATTTTCTACTTTGTGTCGAATTCTCATTTAAATGCATTTGAAATTGTTTCAGCTATGCGTAACCATGGTAACAAGGGTAAGCATGGGTGGAATTGGTTTTTTAATGATAATTGAATGTTTTTGTCATTTTTGCTTGATTTCGTTTTAATGACTCAATTACCACACATGATATGTCTAACAAGCATGGTAATGCAATTGTCAAGCAAGACTCACATGCCCATGTGTTTGCTGTTGAGTTCTAAATTCAGCAACCAATTGTGCTATGACATCACAATATTTCTAAGAATGATGAGTCACAGTGAGTCAGAAAGTAGATCAGACTCTTAGACTCACACACATCCAAGAAATGTCTACTTTACAACAAATCAAAGTTAAGCAAAGGATTGAGCTAGTTCAGGATACTCTTGCAGCATTCATGGACATGCCTCAACTTCCACATGCTCCATATAGCCCTGATACTGCTCCTTGTGATTTCTATCTTTTTCCCACCCTTAAGATGGCATTAAAGGGACAATCCTTTCAGACATTAGCTGAGCTGCAAATGGCTGTACAAAAACAGCTGAACACCATGGCTGCTGATGGATTTGGGCATGTGTTCTCTGCATGGGTGCGCCGACAGAAGACAGTAATTGAACTTGGAGGAGAATACATTGAGGATTGAATATAATTCAAATGGATGATCATCAGGAATAATAAGGAATGATACGGATTATTATTGAACTTACTGCGATATGCTTTTCATATACATCTTGCATTGCAAAATATATTGCACCAGCAAACTTTTCATTGAAAATCCATTTGTTATTATGATGAAAATAGCCTTAAAAATGGATTCCGGGTGTATGCACCATGATCCAAGAGAAGTGCTCTATCTCAAAATGTATTTGCATTTAGTTAATAACATTTTAACATCTAATAGATAATTGATTAATCTTTATTTGTACAAAGTTTCATTCAAATCTGGTAAAGGTAAGCGTGCCTATAAAATTTTGTCCATTACTTTTGAATCACCCCTCGTATACCTTAGATATATCTTGAGACCAAATCATAAGCACGATATCAATAATATATTGAGGATATCAACAGGACAACCAAAAGAACAACCAACTGTCAGAATTGAACGCAATAAGTCGAAAACAGAATACAATGTTTTTTGGGGATTTATCTATATTGTAACCCCTTTAGAAGTAATAATATGGCTTCTCAAAGCCAAAATAATCTGAAGGAAAAAGCCAATCAGACTGGAACAAATTTGAGCAGGCTTTTTAAACTTTAATTTTAATTTCTATTGATGTAAGTGGAAATTCATGGCTAGGAACAATCATCAAATTGATACTGTTAACGAATTAATTCAAGCCTCAGAATTGATAAGTTGATAAACAAACTTGTTTTACATCAAATAACACAAAAAATCAGGGGGTTACTCTAATTGTGTTTTTAGGAGACCCGATCTCTTTAAACAATCATGGGAGTGCAATATTCTTGACACCAACTCATTCTTCTTTTCCATTGTCATTAACAATATAATAAAATTACAGATTAAATTGTTACCAAATTGTTGATTTACTGAAGTGGGTAAGTACTTGAAATACAAGTATATAGATACCGGTAAAAGGCTCTCGAGTTGTACATCTTGGATATCCAAGGTGTGAAGTTTTGAAAATCAAACTGGTATGCGAGTATGGGAGTTGTATCTAATAGCTGAATAAATTAATGTGCACCATTGAGGAGAGAGGGTGTCTTATTCAGGGATATTGTGCAAAGTCTCTGGTGTAATAACTAATAGCAGAATGAATTCACTCAGAATTGAGTAGGAAGTCTCTTATTCAAGGATATTGTGTTGAGTCTCTGGTGTTTTGGCTAATAGCAGAATGAATTCACTCATAGTATTGAGTAGGGAGTCTCTTATTCAAGGAAATTGTGTTGAGTCTCTGGTGTTGTGGCTAATAGCAGAATGAATTCACTCATAGTATTGAGTAGGGAGTCTCTTATTTAAGGAAATTGTGTTGAGTCTCTGGTGTTGTAGCTAATAGCAGAATGAATTCACTCATAGAATTGAGTAGGGAGTATCTTATTCAGGGATATTGTGTTGAGTCTGGTGTGTATAGCTGATAGCAGAATGAATTCACTCAGAATTGAGTAGGAAGTATCTTATTCAGGGATATTGTGTCAAGTCTTTGTTTTTAAAATTTAAAATGGACAGTCTCAAGGACAGCGATATCATTATACCTGATATAATACACCACCTATAATTGGCCCTGACATCATCCCCAATCCGGAAAATGTCTCAAGTATACCCTAAAATATTCACGTCACAAGGTCAAAGGAGTGGTATCGATATGGTGAACTTTTTGAACACGAATTTCTGTTAAACCAGTCATCAAAACATTCTGAAAATTTTACACATCGTCAATTTAATGGTCCTCTTTTGGATGGTAACATTATATATATCCTTTTTTCTATATTGTTTTGGAGAACACATCAGACACTTCTTTTGTTCTTGGTATCATATGTTCGGAATGAAATGAAACATCTATCCGAACCGCATTGGAACAAAACGACATAAACACAATGTGTTTAGTTTAGATCTCTCAATTTTGTAATTGTATAAAGGGAAGTTTGGTTGATTTTAAAAAAGTATTTTGTTAATGAAATAAAAGGTTTATCTTAATTCTTATCTATTTTTAGGGTTTTTGTTAAGTTTTTGCATACTTTTTGTAAAATCAACCAAAATTTCCTTTGTATAACTGTAATATTGAGAGATCAAAGAAAATGTTGTATATGTTATTTTGTTCCAACAAGGTTTGCAAAGACATTTTATTTCATTCTCAAGAATTGGTAGAAAGGAACAAGAAACAATTGCACTAAAAAACAAAAAATGTTAACAAAAACATTTATATAAAATATATATAAATAATTTTTGCATTAAATTGTTGCCAATCAGTCAGCATTACATAAAGAATGTTTTCAATAATTAGTTTAGGAGAAAAACATTGTTGAATTCAGTTCGCCATAGCGACCTATTACAGTACATCCTTTGTGTCAAATCCCTTTCCTCCAGTTTTCAGACAATAGTAAAACAATAAGCATAAAGATTAATAGAATCCTGTCATATTACATTTTAAGTGAATCACAAAAATACGTAAAATCAGGGCAAATTGAACAGATACAAGTATAGCATTGTACTTACAAACATGGTGGAGACCCTGTCGGGGAATGTGTATGCCATGATAGCAAATGATGCAGTAGCGTATGCACTGGTCCCAAGAGCTTCTAAAGTACGAACTGTTAAACACAATACAACATAAATCCAGCCATTAGGAGACTCATCAAGAAATCTGCAACAAAAAAGAAAATTACGAATGTTATAACTTTCATTTGGTGTAGATTTATGATTTTGGATCAAAAGGATTGGTATCAAAATGGCAACCTGAATTGAACACATTTATATATAATATATAACAAAGTTCATGAGTCTACTGCACGTTATACCTGCTTTGTACGATTTTGATATTTTTACATATTGTAGATTTAAATGTTGTCTTTCGAGGAAATCAAATTTTCCTTTGTATAACTATAATATTGAGAGGTCTTAAGAAAATGTTGTTTTAGAAGATGCTATTTTGTTCGCATTAAATTGTTGTCAATCATTGACCATTACATAAATGACCATGTTTTTTACAGAATGTTTTCAAAAATTGGTTTAAAAGAAAAACAATGTTGAATTCATTCAGTTCACCATATCGATACCAATCCTTTATGGCAATTCAATGATAAAGTGGTGTTTTTAGCACAACTTGGAGAATGTCCAAAAGGAGTAAAAGTAAGAATAATGTGCTCATAGATACACCAGCGCAAAATGTTTTAACATTTCGTTAGTGACAAAAAACAAAACAACATGCAATCAGGAATATCGGTAAGATCCTGAGAAAATCCTGGAACAGAATAAGTGCTCATATTTAGAGATTTCCCCAAAAAATGTGTAACTCCCATGTCTTGCCAATTCTAATTCACCTTCTATATATTTTGACAGTAGAATATCTAAAGTGAAAACTGATGAAAAATTCAAGATTTGGAAATTGCTATGCGGTTTTAGGACATTTCACATAACACTACTGGTTTAGAACATATTGTATATATACCTACCCAAATATCACATTGCACCCTCCAGCTACAAACAGTCCTGCGACAAACATGAACTTGGCTCCTACCCTAGTTAACTGCATAAACCAAAGCACAAATGAGCTTTACATTTCATTATATGAAGATCTAATTGAGCAATATACATGGAGCTAGAAATGGAGATTGAGATAACCCTTTACAATACATCATTCTCTTGAAAGCCCATGATTTTATGTATCAGAAACACCAATTCACATAAATAAAACACTTCTTTAGAAATAAATTGACTGCAAAAGATAAGTGTAAATTGAAATTCCAAAATCCTGCATGAGATTATCACATTTAATCTTTATTTTCTTTTGTGTTTAATTTTTTAATTTAAACTTACAATTGCTCCAAAGAATGGTGATGTTAAAAACATAACAACTGCAAATATTCCAAAGATGAGGCCTGTCATTGTTTCTGATGCTCCTTTCTTATTAGCCTGCAAAGAGCAAAATAAAAAATTATGGTGTTCTTGACCCCCATAAACAGCCCCTGGAATATATGTTAAATATATTTATGGATAAATGTCTAAATTTCAAATAATACAATTCGGAGTGAAACTGGGAATGGGACTGACAAATAACTGATAGCTTTATAGTACTACGGCCAAGGCCATTTGTGTCCAAAACCCCTAGATTCAATTTGACTTTAGATTCTTGTAGGGGACCTCAAGGCATGTAAAAAATTTTGTGAACCCTTGCAAAGCAGGCTCAAAAGTGTTGAGTCAGCAAATTTTATCATTTTCGAGTCGGAGTTTGACCATATGCTTGAAGCTATTAATATCTCATTTGAGGATGTTGCAATTATAATGAAACATTGTTAATATATAAATAGCCCAATTTACACTACGCGCAGCATCCCAAGACGTTTTGGCTAAAACGTTTTAGGAAAATTATGTTGAGTTTAAATTACCATTTTCAAGACGTCTTAGGAAATAAGATCGAGTTTACACCTGTTTTCCTAAAACGTCTTAGAGATACATGTATGTAGGTATACATGTAAAATGAAAAAAGCAGTTCAGTACTGGTTTAAGGACCGTTCAGTTCAGTCAATATAGATATTCCTTTCCCGCTTCTATACTTTGTACCCGACTTTGTACTAAAGAATGCATCAGTTTCAGAAAAATATGTCATAAAGACAGCATTGTTAAAAGCATGGAAGAGAGCATGAAGATTTTATGCATAAATTAGGATTATGATAAATCGCCAGGCAAATAAGTTCTTTTCAATAATTTTGGGATGATATTGGGAACAAGGGATAAGACAAAACAGAGGACTATGCGACATATGTAAATGGAAAGATTCAAATGTTTCGTTCGGTGCAACGCAAAAAAACCGGGCTAAGAGCTCTTAGCTAGAACCGATGGATTTACACTAGCTTGTAAAACGTTTTAACGCTAAGACGTCTTAGCTATGACTAGGGTCCTAAAACGTTTTAGCTAAGCGCTCTTAGCCGAGAGCTCTTAGCTCTGGATTTACATTACATTTGTAGAACGTTTTAACGCTAAAACGTTTTAGCTAAGACGTCTTAGCGCGCTAGTGTAAATCCAACAAATAAGGCATGTATGAAGAATTCCTGAAAGTTTGGGTCTTATCCAACAAAATTTGGTAGAGATATGGGATAATTTGTCACTAAAGTACATAATTTCTCTATAAAATTTCTTAATCAGTCATTTAAAAACAGTAAGGGCCTATGGTATAACAACAAATTGTAACAACAAATGATTAAGAGCCAGAGTTACTAAGAGCCTGGTTGCAGTTTGCACACTTTGTATTGTACATATATATATACACTTTGTATTGTATATATGTCATAAATTGTTTAGTTGTAGTCTGTAGAACATAACAGGATGTGTATGTAATGTCAAAATAATAGATCTTGTTCATAGGCGTAGCTACTAGCTAGGGATGGGATCGCACTCCCCCCCAAAACCAATAAAAAATATAACCATGAGATAGAAGAAAAGGGTTCATAAACTTATTTTTACATGCCTTGGGGTCCCCTAGAAGAATCTAAAGTCAAATTGAATCTATATACCTCTCTAGTTTTGCATTAAGACTGTGTACTCCCCCCCCCTTTACTTCACCTTTCCAACAAGGTGAAGTCCACAGGGAGGGAGTAGGTACATAGTCTTTGGGCAAGACTAATCCCTCTCAAACTCTTTTTCTGTAGATATACCCTTAGCAAAACTTGGAGAATTGAAAGATGGATAAATTACCCCTATACTCAGACATGACCTACACACATAGAATGATGGTCTTCATAACTCTTGTACACAAACCTAGCTCATGATGAAAGTTTCGAATTCAGAAGAAAAGCTATGGAACTTACCTCCTGTGGAAAGAAAGGTCCTAACATTGAGAAGAAAGCTGCTTCAAATATATAAGACACACACAGTGACACTAGGGTGAACTTTTGTTCAGAAGTCATATTCTGCGATTCAGTAGAAGAATTATCACAATCATTCTGAATTGAATCTAGTTCCATATTGCGCGTTAAAAGAGTCTCTGAAGCTGTGACTGTATCATCTGTTTCAGCTTTGTTAGTTCTGTTTTTATTAGGTGACACATTTTCATATTTATCATTGGACTTTTCTTCATCCATTGGAGTATCACTAACTTGCTCCATATTGTTAAAATATACGGTAGAGATATGATGCCCTTTGTGCAGTTGTAGGGTAAATTTATGTTTTCTTTTAAATCACAGTCACTCTGTCATACTTCCAGTGCTTGTTTTACTCTGTTATGTAATCTCTATATTCGCTCCAAATCTAGTTCCTGAAAGAAAAAGTTAACTATGATTTAGATTTAAGATAAAACCCTTAACAATATCACATTTCACATTTTTCAACTGTTTCTTTATATATCCTTTACGAACAGCGTGGGTTCCTTGGTGATTTCCGTAGATCCTAAACCAGTCGGATTTTGCTTCTGATTTCTAATTCGGAATCCTGAGAAAATTTCCTATTAAGGTTCAGCTGGAAAGTAACATTTTGGTAAAAAATTGCTATACCTGCACATGTTATTTTCTGGTACACTATAAAGTATGAAGGCATGTGTTGTTTTCCTTGTTTTTTTAGGAAAGTATCATAAATTGTCTACTTTTAGTAAACCTGGAAACAGGTCAATGGTAGCTCCTGTGTTGTCTGGAAACTTTGAAAGAAAATTTGGAAAAATAGAAAGTGTGAAATATCAGAATTTCCTGGAGTTCCAATTGACCTCTTACCAGATATACTAAAAGAAGACAATGTAATGATACTTTCCTGAAAAAACACGGAAATTGACACATGCCTTCATACTTTGTAGTGTACCAGAAAATAACATGTGCAGGTATAGCAATTTTTCACCAAAAACTATTTCAATATAGAAAATCAAATTGTTGCCAAACTTATTGAGGGGTATAAATTGTATGTATGAGAAATACAAAAAATGCTTTTATGTGAGGTACACGGATGAGGGGGGAGATTTGTGGACAACGTAAACAAGGCACAGACGTGAACAATATCGTACCTAAAACACAGCATTGTGGTCTTGTTGACCAAGAAAGCAAGATGGCCGCAGAAAAGTTAATCAGCTCTAGAACTTATCACTGTGTAACATATGTAAAAATTTGAACAGTTTGGCTGGAAACCTGTAGACAAGCCTTGAAAGTGAAGATTTTAGGACGGAAAATCCAAAATGGCCACCTTAAAATTTACCCAGAATGCCCAAAAACCAATCAGTTCTTGACGTTGATATGTAGAAACATACCTGAAAATTTCAGATGAATCCCTCAAAAGGTTTGGCTGACAACCTGTAGACAAGTCTTGAAAGTAAAGATTTTAGGACGGAAAATCCAAAATGGCCACCTTAAGATTTACCCAGAATGTCCAAAAACTAATCAGTTCTTGACGTTGATATGTAGAAACATCCCTGAAAATTTCAGATGAATCCCTCAAATGGTTTGGCTGGAAACCTGTAGACAAGTCTTGAAAGTGAAGGTTTTAGGACGGAAAATCCAAAATGGCCACCTTAAGATTTACCCAGAATGCCCAAAAACTAATCAGTTCTTGCCGTTGATATGTAGAAACATCCCTGAAAATTTCAGATGAATCCCTCAAATGGTTTGGCTGGAAACCTGTAGACAATCTGAAAAGTTAGACGCCGCCCGCCCGCCGCCCGTCAAGCTGACTACCATATCGTACCTTTTGTTAGGTACGATAAAAATCCACATGCTATCTATTGCAAGACTTATGCCTGGCACAACCGTCACCATGTTATTAAGTGTATTAAGTGTTAAGCAAGGATCCTGCCACGTCTGTGGTATTGTTATCATGAAAGCCTGGTATAACCGTGACAATGCTATATTATATTGCAAGGCCTGTCATGACCGTGGTAATGTTAAAGCCTGATATGACCGTGACAATGCTATATTATATCGCAAGGCCTGTCATGACCGTGGTAATGTTAAAGCCTTATATGACTGTGGCAATGGTTGTAAGGCCTGTCATGACCATGGTAATGTTAAAGCCTGATATGACCGTGACAATGTTCACGTTCTTGAATGAGATTAGAATTATAGTTTGTGGAAATGAATTATGAGTTTAAGTAGTAGTGCATGTAGTAGTAGTCTAGATTTACATATTTAAGGTAGATAAACGATGAAATTTTTTATTACAGTATTCTCATGCTACTAAATGTCACATAATATAACCATTGTCACGGTCATATTGTGCTTTAACATAACCACAGTCATGCCAGGCCTTGCAACCATTGTCACGGTCATATCAGGCTTTAACATTACCACGGTCATGACAGGCCTTGCAACCATTGTCACGGTCATATCAGGCTTTAACATTACCGCTGTCATGTCATGGGCGTAGGGCTATATTTTGAGTTGGTACGCACACTCAGGGATGCCTGATTGCGTGGCCGAAGGCAGCGCATCGCTGGGGGCCAGGGTTATGCTCCCCCGGGAAATGTTTTTCAATGACGTTATTTGATGGAATTTAAGCATTTTTATTAACTTTAAATGTTGACAATGGTAAAAATACAGATACGGTAGGAAGCATCAATAAATTCGCAAATAAATTAATGCATTTTAACACATTTTTAATTTTTTTCAAATTCGTTTGGTACGCCTGTGCGTATTTTGCATAATAGGCGCTACGCCCATGTATGTCAGGCCTTGCAATATAGTACATAGCATTGTCATGGTCATATCAGGCTTTAACATTACCATGGTAATGACAGGCCTAGCCTTGTAGAAGGCTTCAGCATTTGTTGATTTTTAAAATAGCCTTAATTGCATCAAAGCCATTGGAAAACGCTTGATTGTACCTGCAAAAAATTACATGTAATTCGTAAGGTAAATACTACTTACTATAACATATTTTCATGCTCAACCCAAAGAATACCACTGTTTCTACCATCCTGCTACGCCAAACTATATCCTAAGTAATAACTAGAGTCATAAAATGAACTTCTTTCCGACCAAACAAATATTTTACATTCTGCCATTTTGCATTTCCGAATCATTTTTTTGGTTATTATTTAGGATATAGTTTGACGTAGCAGGACGGGAGAAACAGTGATTTTCTTCGAGTTGAGTATGAAAATATGACATAGAAGTAGTATTTATCTTACGAATTATATGTAGTTTATTGCAGGTAAAATTGAGCGTTTTCCAATGGGTTTGATGCAAGGCTTTACATTTGGAAACAAATATATCCAAATTTTAAAAATCAACAAATGCTAAACCCTTCTACAAGGCTATGACAGGGCATACAATATAATATAGCATTATTTCTCGAACAGGATAACACGATAACACTACCACAGGGACTACTTCGGTGACATTAAATCACCAGAACAAAGGATATAACCAACCACCTACCAACCAGCTTGCCCGTAGCCAACTTTTACCAGGGGGGGAGCTTTTTTCTAGGGGGGGAGCTTTTTCACAATTTTGGCTAAAAATCATGCGAAAAATAATCAGAATGGTGAAAAACTGCATGATTTTGAAAGAATTTCTGCCGGGGGGGGGAGCTTCCGCTCCCCCAGCTCCCCCTCTGGTATTTCAACGTCGTTAAACTCAATAACGGCGTTATTTATTATTAAGAATTTTCTTGGGGCCGTTATTGAGTTTAACCTCTTTACTATTCTTTCCATTGATGCAAGTTTTGGATCCACCAAAACCATTTTTCCGCGATAACATGCAACTGATACTTAACAACAATATAAAAACACATAACATCAAGCGATTCAACACAATATTATTGTATTAAATGGTCATTTATACGAGTAAAATGAGGTTAAACTTACCAATCTCTAAAATGACATTTCCGCATGTCCGTCGTTGTGTCTGTTCGTCCCGGGTTAAAATTTAAACTATTGAAACGAAATTGTTGTCAAATAGATTGATAATTATCACGCGATTACTCGGGATAAAATAACCATTTTTGAGGATAGCAGGTATCTTTGATTGATTTATATAGCACTTGTATACATACAAAATAGTTATTAATTGCAAACCTACTGTTCGTTGATGCAGTGTCGCAATGACGGTTAATTCCTGATGCGATTTGCAATTTCGATGTTACCGGAGCTGACCGATATTTTCGTAAAATTCCAAACCTGTCTCCAATATTTTCGTAATTATGCATCAATATGGTCTAAGGGGGATACGGGATGGTGTGTATGTATTTATAAGGTATGTATGCATGCTTGAATCACATTCTTTATGTAAAATTACCAAGTTTTCGGAGTTTAATTAGTTCCGCTTGTTGGAACCTGCGGAACGATTAAATTAACGCATCAAGGGCAAAATGGTCATGGAGGTTAGACCTTATCCCGTTCCCGGAATATGGTCCTGTGAACATCTCAATCTTTTGCCTGTGCGATTACAACATGGGAGAATTTTTTACTCATCTTACACTTCAGATACCTACTTCAATAGATTCCTTGGTAATTTAGCATTCTTTTCGTGTAGTTGAATCCACAATTGTCTGGGTTTATCGACAGAACGAAGACATTTTCGTTTTTGATCGCAATATTTGCGTGTAACATTTAAAGGACAACTGAAATAGCTTTTCTCAACTTGCAGCTACAAAAATGCGGGTTTCTCTATTGTAAGCCCACCGTAGAGTTCTTGCGATAGCCATTATAAAATAATTGTAAGATAACTGCTAACTGCCATAGATAACGAAATAAAACTAACTGATAAATCAAGTTGGCCCCCACGTGATAGTTACGTCATATACAAATTATAGCTTTGGTTTATTGGTTCCATAGTAATCACAACGTCACGGCAACCATAGGATTGTTGTGTAAACAAATAACAAAACCTTTTGGCATTATGACGTCATGATCTAATGGACCAAAACGGGCCACGTGGGGGCCAGTGAGAGATCACGTTGGGGCCAATAACGTCACAACCAATTCGAATATTGCTTATTAAGCAGCTATTACGATCGTTAGAGTGAAATAGTTTTCACACTACTGATAAGAAAATATGTCCAAATACATCTATCAAAAAATTATATTGATTCCTTTAGGTTAAAAATACCATTTCATATCTGCTTTAACTTATTTCAACCGTCAAATTCCTCCATATTGGTACTTCCGGGCTACATCCGGGACAGCCAAACGGGGGATTCCCCTTTTAAATCCAACCGCCATTTTGAAAAGTGATGGAATCTCTCTCGATGAAAAAGAGAAAATGTTCCCGTTCTGCCGATATACCCAGACAATCGGCGGTTCCAATATATTAGAAGTTACATCTTGAGTTCTATAATGCATTGAGGTAGGTATCTTAAGTGTAAGGGGTGTAGATAATTCTCCCAAGTTGTAATCGTACAGGCAAATGAATGCGCTCAGTGCAGGACTATAGTCCGGGAACGGGATAAGTTAGACCTAGCCGGGCCATAAGACATGTCAGATAAGAAACGAGGCCCGGGCTAGGTCTAATGTTGTTGGACTACCCCTCTGGCTACGGGCCTGCACGGTCATGGCAGGATCCTTGCAAAACTTAAAAACACTTATGGTGAGGGGTGTGCCAGGCATAAGTCTTGCAACAGATAGGCTCTCAAAAAATCGATCCCTGGTCACCAATTTGATGGCTAGAACTGTGGGAGGTAAATTTTTACAAACAGTTTTAGCCTAGATCTATAGACCCTCTACTAGCCCAAAAATGGACTCTCTTACTCTACGTCTTATAAAAATATTATTACCTTACATAACGCAATGCATTTTATCCTTCTTTTATCTATTGATCATGTGTGTATTCCTTGATTAGTCTACCTATCGATGTCACTAGTGTCATGCTGGTAAATATGTAAGTCACGTGTTATCTGAATGACCTTGACCTTGTATTGTAAACAAATAACAGCTGAAGAATATTACAACTCTTGAAAGATCATCTCTGGCCCAGATCTTCATTCTAAAATGGTTCTTGCTTGGTACTTCCGTCCCTCTGATGAAGACCAGCGTTTGCCACATATGAAGGACCCAAACATTGCAGTTACCATGGATGACTTAGAGAAAAAGACAGGAGGGAAATACTGGATGGTAGGTACAGAAGTGTTACACTGGTGTACTAGTAGGATCAATACTTTAAGCTGAGACTTACATAAGTGATGGTCTCAGCTATAAGACCAATGCCATACCAAATGTTCAAAGTAGAAAAAAGCTAATATTCAAACTGAAGAAGGTCCTGAGAAGAAGGAAGATCAATGAGGAAAAAGACCAAAACAAGACCAAAACAACCTCCATAACAACAGATCCTATAAAATCTGGGTCCATTCCCATTCCACACTCACAGATGGCAAAATTTTTCTGAGGAAATACATCCTTAAGATTTATTTAGAATATATTTCCTTTGAAAAATTCTGCCATCTGTGGTCCATTCTCATATCAAATGGCAAAAAGGTACCCCATGTGTGCTGAGGATCCTCATCAAGGTTTATATTCAGTGGACCCCCCTGGTTCATAGATTGGACCTATGTAAAAATTGGGATTAAGATTGCCAATGTCGTTAACTTAATCTGCCTGCTTGTTTCATTTTCCACTTAGCTAACAATACTGATGTGTAACACTGTGTTTTAATGAAATGTCATTGTATTTAATTTTAATTCCTCATGCTTTCCAAATTGGAAATATATTAATACCTAAAACATGTAGGCCTATAGTTCCAAGGCTGATCTCTTTAGACATAATCAATTTTGTTCTGTCTGGCTTTTTGATCAGTTTGGTTTTTATTTCATGTATTAGGGATGTACCAATCTAATATTTTACATATTTCATTGCCTATACGTTCGAGGTTTGCTAAAACCTTTTCCAACTGAATTTTGCAGATTGACCCTACAGAATACCAAGAATGTGAAATGTACAAAACTCTAAGATCAGAGCGAGGTTACAATTACGAAGACTGCATTCAAGTAACAGATGACAAGCCTGAATTTCAGAAAATGGTACTAAAACTTTGTAATTACCTCAAGCGAACATTTAATATTTGGAAGACACATATTTGTCACCATGTACATTTTACATGTACTTTAATCACTCAAAGATAACACAGAAGTAGTCACTCCCACTTAGAAAACAAAAATTATCACTGGTAAAGAAAACACAGAAGTGAACTTTCACAGAGAAAACAAAAGTAATCACTCCCACAGGTAACACAGAAGTTATCACTCTCACACAAAATAATGAAGTGATTGCTCTCACAGAGAACACAGAAGTGATTGCTGACACAGAGAACACAGAAGTGATTGCTCATACAGAGAACACAGAAGTGATTGCTCATACAGAGAACACAGAAGTGATTGCTCTCACAGAGAACACAGAAGTGATTGCTCATACAGAGAACGCAGAAGTGATTGCTCATACAGAGAACACAGAAGTGATTGCTCTCACAGAGAACACAGAAGTGATTGCTCTCACAGAGAACACAATAGTGATTGCTCTCATAGGTAGCGCTGAAGTGACCCCCTTTTCATATATGGCGTGACTGACCTACACTAAAGTGATGGCTTTCACTTGTATAACTAAGGTAATAGACTAGATGCGACTAGAAATAATCTTGATTTACGTCATGAAATATTCAAAATTCAAAGTGATGTCAAATTTGTAATCTGCATGTAAAAGTACATCTAGTAACATGGTTTCGAAAATTGTCTATCAACTTTGAAAATTTTTTTTTTTTGAAAATGTGACTTCTTGTTCGGGTTGATTCCCCATAGACCCCATGTTACAAAATCACAAAAAGTGAATCTTTTCTTGTTTTGGAAAGATAACATTTTCTTTTACTGGACATATTTTAATTTGCATAACTATAATATACATAAGGGTTATATGAAAATTGAAGCACGCAAATAGATGTAATTTAAGTTAAAGGGAACTTTCTACTATACCTGCCATGCTATCTGACCCGAACGAGCCACCTGGTGGTGAATCTGGTAACTACCTACTCGCATCTGCGTTATTGCTCACTCGGATAATGCAAAAGTGATCACTCTAACAATGAACACAGATTACAACAAGGAAGTACATGTATATAGAAGTCTGTGTTATATGTGAGAGCAATCACTTCATTGTTCTCTGTGAGAATTATCACTTCTGTGTTCTGTGTGAAAGCAATCACTTCTGTGTTCTCTGTGATAGCAATCACTTGATTGTTCTGTGTTATAGTGATCACTTCTGTGTTCTGTGTGAGAGCAATCACTACTGTGTTCTCTGTGATAGCAATCACTTCATTGTTCTGTGTTAGAGTGATCACTTCTGTGTTCTGTGTGAGAGCAATCACTTCTTTGTTCTCTGTGAGAGCAATCACTTCTGTATTACCCGTGAAGGCAATCTGGAACATTTCATTACATACAAAACAGGCATGTTGAAAAATAAAATTTGTGTTTCAGCTCAAGCAATTCTATGAAGAACACTTACATGCTGATGAAGAGGTGAGATTTGTGCTTGATGGATCAGGATACTTTGATGTAAGGGATGATGCAGATGCCTGGATCAGAATTCAGATGGAGCCAGGGGATCTCATTGTTTTACCTGCTGGAATTTATCACCGCTTCACATTGGATACAAAGGTACTTCAAATACGGGCTTATTTTGAATAAAAAATTTGATCAAAACTTGTTTTAATATAACTGATAAAAATCTGTCAGTTGGTTGGTATGATGTCCAAGTATCTTTGAAATTCTGGAAATTATGACAAAGAGAAAGAATAAATATTTTTTCAAATAATATTTACAATCTTTTTTTCAATTCAAATATGATGTCAGTTGGTTTTGGATCACAAAGAACCAGGTGTGGTATGGCAAGTGATTTCAGTTATACCATGTATGTTATCAGTTCTGGACTCTCTTAAAAAGCATGGATTATGACCCCTCATCGACATGTTTTTAAAACGTTTTCTTAATTTAACTATAATTAAGTTTTAGCATGAGATGAGGCAGAAGTATGGGATATGTAGTTTTCAACTTTACTTCATTTCAACACCACTACCCTTGCATCTATATTATTGACATAGCATAAATGTTTGTATCCAACCCTTTTTCAACTGTATAGTTCTGAAATTTTTGTGCTTTTGCATGTCTTGCCTTTGGTGTGAATACCACTTCATGTACAAACATGTATGTGTCTTGTGTTTCAGAATTTCATTAAGGCGGTGAGACTGTTTAAAGGGGAGCCAGTTTGGACTGCACACCCAAGGCCATCTGATAGCCATCCAGCAAGACTCGCCTATGTCAGTTCACAGAACATGGGCTCTTAATGGGATTACGCTCATAAATCTTTCTGTCTTGCACATGCAATATGCTCTGATATAATGATTGTATGTTATTAATCAAGAAGGTGTTTCCTGTGTAGTACAGTGCTTTGTGAGCGATCCTAGGTGATTCATTAGACCCTGGGGTTTTGATGCAATGATGAGACTGTGATATACAGAAGCCCCAAAGTTATTTACACAACATAACTGGATACCAATCAATCTGGAAGAATGTTATTTTCTACATAAATCAAGATCTTTATATTTTTTAATATGTCCTTCTTTAGATATTTAATGGTGGGGGTTGTTTACACTGGATATGGGGCTGGGCTGTCTTTTTTGTTGACTAATAATAATGCCATGGTATTTCAAGGGCATGGAAGTGATGATGAGGTTTTACTGTATTTTTTATTAATTAAAATCAATTGAATGGACTTTTAAGTTAACAAAGTTTCCTGTTAATGGCCCCCTGGATAATTATCTGTGTTTGATGATTTAATAGAGTTTTCAACAGCGTGCAATAAAAATAAATCATTTTCTATAGAATGATAAGTTTTTTTCATGAAGGGATATTAAATGCTTTCCTCATTATGCTCATGGGTCGACTTGACCTCATCCTCCCTGAATATAAAGAATTCTTTTCATGCTACAATAAACTTAATGGTTTTGTTTATATATTTCTTTTTGTAAAACGCAATGGCAATGGCAGCAATTATATTGTTTACATATTCTTATTACAGAAGTAGTGAGTTCCTCTCATAAATAAAGTGTATTAGACATCATATGTGGAGTTTGTTTTTTCAATGAGACTATCACCATGAACATGCCACAACTAAACAAACCCTATTGAGCCTGAACCACAAATTGTTTTTCTTGACAATAGAGCAAATGGCATAAAAATGTCTATATCAGTTTAACACATAATAGAGTTTATCCATACAAATAACAGATAACAGCAACTGATCAAACATTCAAAAACAATACCAGAATGTTATTACTTCAATCAATGTATCCACAAAGTATTAAATGCAATGAATCAAACGAACTCATTCACAATCATCCATTCAACTTATGTACAAGTAAATTGTCAGGCTCTATTATGTGATTTTTATGATTCCCTAAAGCTGACGTGTTGTCTTTCATCATTGCTTCATAGATGATCTTTCCACAAACAGAACTTCTTGAATCTTTGGACTAATGGATTAATTCACATTTAAACAGAGGTATAGTTTACTTTGCTTAATTAAAGACCAAGATATAAAGTAAAAATTTTTTGCATATCAATTTTTCATTGACAATACCAAACGGAATATCTCAAAAAGTAAAATGCAGAGATCCCAGATGTGAACAGGGACATGATCATAACACATAAAAGTGAACAGGGGCATGAACATAACACATAAAAGTGAACAGGGGCATGAACATTACAAATAAAAGTGAACAGAGGCACGAGCATTAAAAGTGAACAAGGGCATAAACAATATACATAAAAGTAAACAATGGCATGAACATTACACATAAAAGTGAACAGAGCCAAGAGCATTAAACATAAAAGTGAACAGGGGCATGAATATTACACATAAAAGTGAACAGGGGCATGAATATTACACATAAAAGTGAACAGGGGCATGAACATTACACATTAAAGTGAACAGGGGCATGAACATTGAACATAATACATAAAAGTGAACAGGGGGCATGAACATTATACATAAAAGTGAACAGGGGCATGAACATTATACATAAAAGTGAACAGGGCCAAGAACATTAAACATAAAAGTGAACAGGAGTATGAACATTACACATAAAAGTGTAAAGGAGCATGAACAGTATACATAAAAGTGAACAGGAGCATGAGCATTAAAAGTGAACAAGGGCAAAAGTGAACAAGGGCGTGAACATTACACATAAAAGTGAACAGGGACAAAAACATTATACATAAAAGTAAACAGGGACATGAACATTATAAAGAAAAGTGAACAGGGGTATGAACATTATACATGATGAAAGTGAACAGGGGCATGAACATTAGACATAAAAGTGAACAGGGCCAAGAACATTGTACATAAAAGTGAACAGGGGTATGAACATTACACATAAAAGTGAACAGGGACATGAACATTTCACATAAAGAGTGAACAGGGACATGAACATTATACATAAAAGTGAACAGGGGCATGAACATTACACATAAAAGAGAACAGGGGCATGAGCATTATACATAAAAGAGAACAGGGGCATTAGCATTATACATAAAAGAGAACAGGGGCATGAACATTACACATAAAAGAGAACAGGGGCATTAGCATTATACATAAAAGCGAACAGGGGCATGAACATTATACATAAAAGTGAACAGGGGGATGAACATTAAACTTAAAAGTGAACAAGAACATTACACGGAAAAATGAACAGGGGCATGAAAATTACACAAAAAGTGAACAGGGGCATGAACATTATACATAAAAGTGAACATGGGCATGAACATTACACATAAAATGTACAGGGGTATGAACATTACATATAAAAGTGAAAATGGGTTGAACATTGCACATAATGATCAGAGGCATGATGAAATATTTAAGGAATGAACTTTTATGATTTATATATGTGTTTCTCTCTAAGAACAGATAACTTGTAATTGTTAAACAAATGCTGCTTTTCTAGGGCAACAACAATGCTGGCTGAATATGTTATGTTGGCACTCCTATTGGTGACTCTCTGTTGTCAAGGTATGTCTATATGTGTCAGGGTGTGGGGAAGAATAAGATAATCGTGCCTACAAAACTGTCAAGTCGAACATGTCAAATGAGGATTGATTTAGCATTTACATTAGCACTTATGCTATTTTGCTAATCAGAATAAATATAGTATTGTAACAAAGATTGAAACTGCATTTGTGCTGTTTTAGTGCAATATTTTGCATCAATTTTCTACCTGTAGCCTTGCTTCCATCCTTTGTGACCCCCTATACTTGTACCTCTGGGGGGGGGAGTAGATAGGTTGAGGGCAGAGATGATGCAATATTAATCTACCCCCACACTATCAATGTTCCTCCCAGCAGTGTGTCAATGAGACAATACAGGCACTTGTTGCAAGACAATAATCAACATACACAGGGTGGGCCAATAAAAATTGGAACATTTTTCTATTTAATCAATTTTCTTTACTTATAATTGCAGTTCAATCCACAAAAATTCAGATACTGGTAAGTTGATTATTTGTGAAAATGTTAAAGATAAAAATATGTATGCATAATTATTTTTGGCTTGTCATGGTCATTCTCTATAATATTCTGCGTGTCTTCTGAACAATTTCAAAATGTTACCTGCTTGAGACAACACTGCTGAAAATACAGTATCTTTCATACCATACAATATGTACCCTTCAAATGGTCTCAGCACAATTTCCATCAATTAAAACATATGTAGTAACCCCTAGGGGGGCTAGCCATGTCTTTCTTGGATAATATAGCTTGACTGACCCCAGCTTTTTTCAAAACTGGCAAAATATGTCTCAAATCCTATCATTTAAGCCATGTATGACTGTCAAATACACCTTAGAGTGATTGGGTTGGTGGAGGACATGGTCAGGAAACCCTTGCATTGAGTATTTAAATGTTGAGCTTGTATATTCATATTTACACAAGCTGTTGACAATGATTTGTTTTTCAATTTCCCAAAGTGTTGAAGATGATACATGACTAACAAAAAGTTACAATGGAATGAAAAAATGTACTAATTTTTTTGGCCCAACCTGTACATGTATAGCAATACCAGCAGAATAAAGAATATAACAATTTTTAGTTGTACATCATTGATAAATGTAACTCTTGCAGGTCACAGTGACACAAACCCTCGCAAACGTTTATTGACTTGATAAAACATGATATATTTTATGTTTTGTTCGATTCATAATTCAACTCTTAAGTTAAGATTTAGATTATAACCTTCACATTACAGACCATTATTTCAAATAAAAACACGTTGTAGTTAAAACCACACGTAATAAGCGAAGGTTATTGATGGTTGTGATGTGTTCTGCTATCATACCCATGTGTTATGCTGTTATACCCATGTGTTTTACTGTTTTTTTTTTTATTATATCTTGGTTACCGCCATATTTGGCGAGCAATACCTCATTGGTATATTCCGTATTTTACGTATTTTACACACGAAGATAGAGCCAGAAACCCCTCCTTGGAGGAGCCCTGTGTTCTTTTATGTGCACAGGTACACAGACATACAGGTACACACCACAGCCTTTTATACGAGTCGTGAACCACTCAGTCAAACACCCAGAATTACATAACGCACAAACAAACTTGTCTGAACCGGGAATCGAACCCGGGGCCAAGCAATATTGGTAACCTTGACTCTCTCTGCCACTGAGCCATAGCGGGTGGACTAAACCCATGTGCTGTGCTATTATACCCATGTGATCTACTGTTATACCCATGTGTTCTGCTCTCATACCCATGTGTTCTGTTGTTATACCCATGTGTTCTACTATTATACCCATGTGTTGTGCTATTATACCCATGTGTTCTGCTGTTATACCCATGTGTTCTGCTATTATACCCATGTGTTCTGCTGTTATGCCCATGTGTTCTGGTATTATACCCATGTGTTCTACTATTATACCCATGTGTTCTGCTATTATACCCATATGTTCTGCTGTAATACCCATGTGTTCTGCTGTTATACCCATGTGTTCTACTATTATACCCATGTGTTCTGCTGTTATGCCCATGTGTTCTGGTATTATACCCATGTGTTCTGCTATTATACCTATGTGTTCTGCTATTATACCAATGTACTTCAACCTAATAAGTGAATTGTCTTTATATCTTTGTGTTATGCTATTTTACCTATATGCTCTACTATTATACAGGGTTCCTAGCAGAATCTCTAGATCACCTAGAAAAGAATACAAATCTACCCTATGGTGTTAACTGTGCCTGTTACAAGGGGAACATTAATTGGCTTCTTCCACTGGAGACAAAGGACATTTACAATTAACATGTAGTCTTGTATACTTCAATCAATAAATGTAATATATAATAAGTTCTATGTATCAACAGTCATTTGTTAAGAATGAGCTAATTCCTGTATATCACTTAACTAATTCCTGTATATCACTTATAACTATGAGCTCATCCCTGTACATCTCTGTGATAACTATTAACTAAGGAATCAATTCCTATACCTATGGTGTAAAAATAATTGTGGCAAGAGAAAAAAAAAATGCGTCTATTTAGTATA